TTTATCTTCTAGGTAATATTTTGTTACAAGTTAAGAACGTTTAAACTCGTAGTCATCGACCTTTACGTTATCTATATTTTTTTTAATCAGAGAAATTTCGGTATTTCCGAATATTTGCTTAAATATCAGTACTTTTTAAGAGTTTTTTTTTACAGTCAAGTAAAAAGTTAATCACCCAGTAAGATTCTGAAGTTAAAATTAAACAATAATTAAAATTTTAGCACCTTAGCTTAAAAACAAAATATATGCCTAGTTGGTAGTAGATTATTTAGAAATTCTATAATTATTAAATCACTTAAATACAATATCACAAAGTCAATCGCTGCTGACAATTGGTAAACAACTAATCATTACCAGTTTTTCTTTTACATTAATTTCCAACAGATCATAGTCGACGTTGTTAACATGACCAAATATAGATGTTGATAATTAAATTGTTCACTTCGCTTTTATAATTATGTTTGGTAGCATTCACTACTAGTATTACAGCGCTATGGTTGTCATAAAAACCATTAACGACCACAATCTTGAATCGGAATGAATCGAGTACACTAATGTAGTCTACCTACCATTCTAGGCCGGTACGTGCTTAATTACTGTGGGCAGAATTATGTAAGTTAGTCGGTCGTATTTCTTTTATGATCCAACCTTGAAACGTACACTTGATTCTTGGACTGATTGAGATATTTTTATTATATATGGTTCCTCATGTGTAAACAATGAGAGTCGGTTTCCTGATTGTCTATTTCCAGTTTTGATACTCTTAATAATATTATACAGTTGAAAGAAACATGTTTTGGACTTCATAATAAAATAAGCAATTTAATGTACCTAATTAAACAAAAATATATTTTGTCAATAGATACCAATAAATGTAAAAATAATTCATCGCATCCAAAAAAAAAATAAGAGACGTCAGAATTTTTAGATGTATGTAAATTTTAGAGCAGTGATAATTTTAGTAGTATGTATTAGAGAATTTGTTATAATAATTTTCCAGAGAATAATTTCCACTGCACTGATACCTATATGCCATTGTATTTTAAATAGTAGATGTAAAATATCAGCTTTTGAATTGTAAATTAAAACACTTTCGTAATGTTTCATTTTTGCGGTATTCCGCTTTATACTTTATATTCGATACAATGTATAGCATAGTTTATTAGGCAATCAAAACGAAAAAGAGTTTGGATTAAAATTTTTATGAATATGTTTCCTAGAATAACGATAGAAACGATTTCGTTGAAAGGAAACTTAGGAACAAGCAACATAAGCTACCATTTTAAATGAGCTGGTTAAATCAAAGAACTATAAGAAAAATTATAGGAATCGTTATAAATATACAACAACAACTAAAGAGATTGATGGAAATTCGTGGAAAATGGCAAGAGCTCCACCAACAAGAGCGCGGCATTTCAATTATAATGTTAGAGTTATTTTCTTACTACTTCTAATGACTCTAGGTGATCACTCCACCCAAATCGATTACATTTTTAAGAATTATCTCATTAATGTTTTTTTTTTAAATGTCAAGAATGTTCGGTTGCTGTTTGTATTAAAATGTGGTTTTTTGCTTTCATTCAGCCTTAATCACATTTTCAAAGCGATTGCCAAACCGATTTGCCTTCGTTTGCTACCAAAACAGTCAGTAAAAGGTAAAGAGAATGTATACTCTACATTTCCGGAATTTTGTTTACAGAAAAGTGTTAATGAAAGCAAGTTTATATATATAAAACCAAGGCCAGCCTTCTGGATTCATTGAAAAAAAGAATCATTTTCCTCGTTTAAGTTTAGTATATGCTGCTAGATCATTCTATCGGTCTCTGCGCGACATCTATGGGCTACTTTGGAAAAGGGCGCTGTTGCTATTAAATGATCTATAGCACGGTAAGGTAAAACGTAACTCTGCTCGTTGATAGGCAACATTAGAGAAAGTACAGTAACGTGCATCAAGATGGCGTTATTAGCAGTTTATTTCTATATTTTGCTTATCATGACACAGTGATTATGTTAATCTTCCCTTAATAATATTTAGTAGTACATTGACCCTATAAGTATATATTTTGTTAACGACTCAGACAAATTTGTATTTTTGTATTGTATAAATATTTTTTTTATTTTTACCACCACTGCAATTATTTGTATAGTATAATCTAATTTCCAGTTTTTTGTCTTAAGGGCATTTATCTCAGAGAGAACAAAGAGGTATAACTATTCAGCCTTCCTCAAAACGTTTCCTTCACTTATTATTATATTATATGATAACTAGCATTTTCGAAAATTCATGCAAACACCCAAGGCAGGCAGCACGCAAACCATCAGGTCAATAAATATGTAAAATAAGTATTGTATGTACTGAAAACACAAAATTGTAAGATTTATTATCGAAAGACAACCCTACAGAAGCAGTTTGATGCAAAACATGTGAACTGCAACGTTTCGAATGGTTTCACACGGACAATGGCGGGTGAGCCTGCCGCGCACCGCTGCCTCTGCACCGCCTACACGATAACAGGCTGTTCTATTATTGTGCACTAACAACCCGCCCAGATTTGTCTCCTCTTTGTGAATCTTTACTTAAAAAAACGCCCTTGTGAGAATATCCCATAATGTAGCTTTCTATAGGTCAAAGAACTATAAAAATCGGTTAGGTATTTTTTAATTTATTTTCTAGATAACAAAAAAATCACATATTATTTTAAATATATATCATTGTAAGTAGGCAATTGTGGATTGAATTAATAAATTTAATCGGTATAATTATTATAAAAAATAGAGTTTTAATTAAATCTATAAATATTTATCTCCTCATTACAGCGTATGTAACAAATCAAATTTAATGATCCATTGTAATAATCTCATCACCACATAAATGGTAATCCAAAACATTATCTTGGATAAATTCGGCAACTTACAAATTTTTTACTGCGTTCGCTATATATGGCATGCAATTATTTAACATGCGACCTTCAATTAGTTGAGATCGGCCCACATTCATCGCCCAAGGAAAACTATACATCACGTTCCCCACAGATAATCTCATTGCTTTTTTTGTAACAACTACATAGAACAATATTTATTATACGTATGACTTCACGTTTCCCGCGCTCAAGGAAATGATAACTCTTTGTTCTGACTACTTTTTCATTAAGACACATTAGCTTCATAAAAACTGGCCACCTAATGTTAATATGATTTAGAAACAACGCGATTAAGTGAGACCACTTCCTTGACCTAATAAAAAGCAGCTCTACAGAAATCATTGTAATGAAAATGAAAAAAGACTTTGTATCTCTAATACTACTGTATTAGATCATTTCAAATGTCTCATGTATAAAATTAGAACAAACAATGGACTGAAATCATTACAAAATCGTGACAAAATTTTGAATATCTGAGGTATGTTTTGCGCGAATAATCCATGACTACTAAGATCACGACTGTTAAATCTCGCATTGCACTTTTATATTGCGATTTCTGCAATTAAATATGACTTTTTGGTGAAACAGTGCAACAATAGAACAGTTGCGGACAACAATGGGCGGTATTCTGACGATTGTGACCCCTACCGTTGCTAAATACAGTCACAATGAGAGAAGCGCCTGTTGATCGTCTTTTAAACGATCTTGCACTTCTATCGCAACTCTAATAACACGTTGCGATGGATTATCAGGCCAAGGTTCGATTGCAACAGGCTTTCTAACACCTGCGAATAGGACTTCTGCATCTGTTTTTGGCAGTCCAAGTACGCGTTGACTTAACATTCATTTAAATTCTTCTCACCTTTTAACCTTTTTAATTTGGTTAGGAAATTTTAAAACTTGAATTGTTTGGATAGTGCTATTGTTTTTGATGTTTTAATTTGATCCAAGTAATTTTATAGTAGTGATATTGAAACGTTTCGTAACAGTTGACTAGGTGCAACCTTGCCTTCTTTTATACCAGCGGCATCGAAGTAAACTAATGAACCGAAAACATTATGCGCGGGGCCTAGGCATGATTTCACTTATTTGTGGTGCGAATTATCGTACGTCACGCATCATCATAACATAATTTAACATCTCCATTGAGATAATATCATTGAACAAAAAATATAAGTCGATCTGAATATCTGATAATTGCTTCTGTTAATTGGTGTGTTTTTATTGCAATAAATTTTATTATCAAATTCAGTACTTACTTCCTTATTATATCAGCATCGTAGACAATAAGTTGGTAAAACTTGATTATCTACGTAATTTGTTTTATAACTATACTACTATCTGCCTACAAAGTTAATCGTTTTTATTTTGTTTTGTCTAAAACAATATGATTATTATAAAAATAAAATTATTATTTAAAAAAATGTTATTTGCATACGTAAGCAATCTAATTAATTATGTAAGTCTTAAATGTCCCAATTAACATTTTCTACACTTTAAATATTTATGTCATGCACACTCACGGATACAGCAATGACCTTAACTATAATTATATTAAGACTACCAATTTCTGAAAATAAAAACATAAATTGAACATATCCTGTACTGTACATTTATTATTTCTATCTGTTTTAAAATTCATCTTGAATGGTTTAGAATATCGACTTTAATTTATTTACTAAAATTATATACATTCATATAAATTTTAAACTCATATAAGTGATCTACTAGTAGTAGATTACCAGATTATAGTGAAGTTAATTCTTGGATATAGTATTAAAGTTACAAAATGTAATTATGTTTTAAAGGTTTTAAATAGTTTTAATAGTCACCGACAAGGAACTGTCAGGTATTCCACCTATTTTTCTTGAAAATCTTAAAACCAACTTCTAATTATGTAGAAAATAAAATTGGAGTTCTTTGTCAGGACAGTAATAATACTTATTATTCTTGTGAATCCTGGGGTCGTATATTAAACAGATAATTATTCTAAGTAGAAGTTAAAATTCTAATTCTATTCCACTCATTTATTGTTCTTGTTTGTATGATGATGATGAGTGAAATATTTTTTTTTTCCAGTGCTGGAATGATGGGCGAGGGCCTGCTGACGCTCACGTACGGCAAGCACCACGCCTGCATCTTGAACGAGGTGGGGGCTGCGTGGCGTGGCGCCAGGTACTCTGACCTGGTGTTGGTTTGTGACGACGCCGTGCCTCTGGCTGCCCACCGCATCGTCATGGCTGCTGCTAGCCCACTAATCAGGTAAATAAACCATATTTTTATTAATTTAGCAATAAATTATGATAAAATAGGCAGACTTAATGCTATAGGCATTCTCTACCTGTCTACCTTCACGAAATCCAGAAATACTTGATGGCGATCTTTGAATATAAAAAATTACATATATACAAATATTGGACTAAACTAGAAATAGAATACACATTACACACACATACAATATATACATACAATGTATAATATATATACACATACTCTTAATATGGAGGAATACACATCCCGTAACGCTGTCCGCGTGAAGTCAAAACTGTTCTCTTTTATGTTAAACAAGTTGTGTATCAAATTTTATTCTAGGATTCATTAATCTAAATTTATTGATGGGAATAATGACGATTTGAAATTGTCAAAGGGATATATCACATCATAATATTAAGATAGATAAAGACTGAGGGAAAAAATTAAAACATTTTCGAAATCGGCATTATGTATCAAATTTAATAATTATATTTCCAAACTTTTATCTTATCCATATCCTAATGCACCATCATGCAAGGAGATATAGAAACTCCTTTCTACCTTTTAAAGATATGATATACACGGTTAATAAGTATTCCTAAGAAATAAAATATTGTGCTATTTGTCTTAATTTTTTATTACTTTAAAATTTGTAATGAACATTCAAAATAGCAAAATTATTCACAAATATATTATCTATTGTTTAATTAGATTTGAATACATTAGATGCTTATAAGTATATAGCATATCCTAGAAGTAACATTAATTGAAGGTTTACTGGTTAATCACTATTCTAATTCACCTTAAGCACGTAAAGCAACAAATCTACATCTATTTATTTTGCAGTATCAGAAATTACTGTTTTCCAAAGACCTTCTTTAAGCTTACGTAAAATATTTACGTTGTGAAATACAATATTTATGTTTTTGTTTTTCAGAAAAATACTTGATGACACTCCATCTGTCGAGAACCCAGTCACTATTCACATGTCGGGTATCAGCAGCACACTAATGAGGCATCTTCTCGTTTTTCTATACAGTGGTCAAGCATATATCGAGGTAAATCATTTTCGAAAATTCTAATATTTCTATACATTTACTGACTGCCTCGGTAGTCTAGCGATTTAGCACCTTACTTTAAATGGTCGCGGGTTCGATTGCTTACACAGTATTTGTATTCATGTGTATGATTATTTGTAGCGGTCTCGGTATTTTTTATGTACAAAAGAAATATATATGTATTTATATCAGTAGTACCCATAATACAAGCACTGGTTAGCTTGGGATTAGATAGTGCTGTATAAATTATCCTGAAATATTGTTATTATTTTTTATACTGAGCTTCCAATGACCCAAATTAATCATTAATATTTTTATTCCAGTCTGGTGAAATTGATGATATGCAAGAACTTTTTGAGCTTCTAGAAATAAAATCAGATGTGTGGAAATCTACAAAAGAACGACAACAGGCCGAGGAAAGAAACAGATCTTGTGAGCGATTAAAAGCAAAAAGTCTCAAAACAGACATTAACAGCAACGAAAGCAGTAAACACGACGCCCCTTCAGGGTCGTCACATTCAGAAAGTGATAGAGTAACACCTGGTGCAGGATACAGTAAAGAAAAAGATCGAGAATCAGAAGCTATGAGCATAAAGAAAGAAAATATGTCAACTAGCAGTAATGATGAAAGAGACGATGACGATCAAGATGGAGAAAACAAAGAATGCGGCAGATTAACGGCACGGCGAAGAAGTTCGTCAAATCCTGTCAATTTGTCTGTAACAAGGAATTCAGAGAACACCGGTAGTGAACACGACGACTCGCAGGATGTTGATGTGGAAACAGTCGCAGCAAAGGTAATTTAGTCATATAAACGTACTATTTAAATGCTTAATTCACTTGTCTTTATACTTCAATCAAAGAGGGAAAACGATTTTTCCCATCGATTTTTGGTTATGAGCAGTCATATAACTTCAGTTTGAGCGTGCAATATGATATTATTCCTGGTTGGTATCATAAAACTATCAGGAAGCTATATTTTAAATTAATATAGTGAAAATATACATCTTGAGTTTATTCTTAAATCATAATTATTTCGTTAGGCTTGAGAATATTCATCATAAGTAATTATATAAAACTTTTCAGAATATTGAGAGGAGAAGATCAACATCTTCCAGTCAAGACGATCAGCCCCGGGAAACTGTATATAGAAGACAACTACTCAGTGATCGACTAGGTCGAACAATAGAGAGACCTAAAAGGAAATCACATTATCTTGAACCGCCAGAACTAGATCTTCGAACCGCTGTCAAATTAGAAGATTACGCACATTTAAAACCACCTGATCAAGATTTAATGTCACTTGTTCAAACATCGCCAGAAAACTATGTGGTTACACCTCATCGGAAAAGACGACCCGGCTTCCACAATTCTCCTTCACAAAATCCTCCGTTTGTATCATATCCCCCAAGTTACCTAGAAGAAATAGCACATTTACGATATCAGCACGGTTCAGCAGGAGTAGCAGCAGTAGCAGCAACCGCAAGACTTGGAGCTCTGCATCCACTTAGTACATCAGCGCCACCATACTTACCTGAAAGAAGTGCAACTCCGCCTACAGCCACACATGAGGATGCTCTCAAATATCGACCTCCCAGTGCGGGTTCATGGGGGCCATGGCTGTGCCAACCACAAATGGGAGGAGATGAAGCCCCTTCAACAGAACATGATCAAGGGTCCAGCAAGCAAGCGCCAGTACGTGAATATCGTTGCGAGTACTGTGGCAAACAATTTGGTATGTCGTGGAATCTCAAAACACATCTCCGAGTTCACACAGGTGAGAAACCATTTGCCTGTCGACTCTGTGTTGCAATGTTCAAACAGAAAGCACACTTACTGAAGCACTTGTGCTCAGTCCATCGTAATGTAATATCTTCCAGCGAAAACGACGGACGTACTAATACGCCCGGTCGATTTAATTGCTGTTTCTGCCAACTCACCTTCGAAGCATTACCGGAGCTCATCAGACATTTGTCGGGGCCCCACAACAGTTTACTACTAAGCAAAAATCTACACGAATGACGCTTGCCCACATGACGCTATTCAATGCGTAAAAATGGACTATGAAATTTCTTCTCTCGATTCGAGAGTTCAATTGTGATATGTGTTTAAGAAGGATATTAGGTTAAGGTTTAATTATAAGTTATGTAATATCGCAGAGCGATACTCAAAGTGAGTGAGGCATTCGCAGCATTATACTGTGGATGTATTGTTGATGACTAATTTAAAATCACATGTTTGCCGAATGGGTCCAAATTATTATAATTTGTTTAAAAATTATAATCCGGGACCAATACCTTCCAAGATAGTATTTATTTGAAAGCTGTATTTCATTAGGGTAAATAATATTTAAAAGCCACCGACACATTAATTCCTTAAGTATAGAAAATAGACACGATTGTCAATGAAAAGTTGCGAAAGATGTAGAGCCTAAACTAAGAATGTCACTTAAACTACCTCCTAATTTAAATCAGTAACTTGATGAAACTTCAGTGACATCGATATGGTTTGTTTGACATTGACTGTAGATTTTCTTCAATGAAACTATTCGGTCAATAATTCTAGTCAGGTACGGAACAAAGAGTTATATCAAATATATGTAATTCGCGTTTCTGTTTTTCATTTTATTAAAGCAATTATAAACTATAACGCTACCTAATTTTCTTCACTGATTCCTCAAAATATTTTTAAAATATAGTAAAAATTAATTAAAAGTGATGCGTATTGTTTACGTTTCTTAAATATCTCGTTGTCTTATTTTTTATTTATTGCATGGGTTTAAAAAAGTTTAAAAGTTCTTAATTAGGTATTTAAAAGTACTCGAATACTCGATACGAAAATGAGTATAATTACTTTGTTCCATTTCAATAAATCAGATTTGACATTTCGCAGCTTTTTAACGACATTTACAATCTCAATATTAGGTTTTATCATTTATGTAACTTCTAAAATAGATAAAAATGTGTTCGTAATATTATATTTTTGTAATTATTATGCCTTTATATACTTCATTCGTTCGTACCGATTATTTGCAATGTGGTTGAACACCAAAGATTTGTAAAGCATTGAAAATATTTTGGTGTACAATTAAGAGAAATTAAAGGGACCTGAAATGATTATGATTTGTTAAACTTAACGTATGTAGGTACCAATTTTTATAATCTCATCTCTGTAGTTAATAACTACATACTAACTTTGGTATTTCTGTAACCATTTCCATATTTCCACTAAAAACTGTTGTATAAGTACTTGAATATCTTTCTATTTTTCGATTAATTTACTATTTTAATGTTAATTAAAAACTTATCAGGCATTGTATTCAGATGAATATTTCTAGAGACTTGCTGTATTTTAGCTGTGCTAAATAAACCTATTAAAAGTACATTCGAAATAGTTTTTTCTCGAACACGTTATTGTGGCCAGTTATATTAAAACTATTGTTATAAAGAAGGCTGGATATTAAAAGTATCTTTTAAGGTTTCTAATAAAGTGTCTGATATTAAATTATTAGTTATTGTAAAATTTATTCCAACTAATCTTGATTTTTTTTTAATTGGAACAAGTTTTATATATTGTCTGTAATACTCACTTTGTACAAAAAGTACTATTGCAAAATACGTATGTTTCATAAAACAGGCATTGTTAGTAACAAGATGTAATTCCATTATATTTACGATAGATACCTGTAATAATGCAATTCTTGCTTATAAATTGTGTGTACCACAATTAAAACTAAAGTTACCAACGAGAAGTTCAAAACATAGAGTAAACGATAAATTTGTCGAATTGCTTTAATGATTTTCATTCGAACGTTACCTTTCGTTATACCTGATGTTTTTTTTTCTTATTGTTTTGTTTTGTGTCAAATATTGACATTTCGTAATTGGGGAACAATTTAATCTTAAGAATTGTGATTTTGTGGTATCATAGATTATTTTATGTGATAAATGTCTGTTTTTATTATAAGTAGGCACGTCGAGGACGCCGTCTTCCATTGCGTTTTCCATACTTCCAACACAATCGTATTGATGTAAATAAAGTTAGACTTAAGTGAACTGTGCATGACAAAACAATCGTCCATAATTCTTGTGCTTACATGAATGAGAGAGTGTTTTATGTTGTATAATGAACAAACTGTACATTTTACTGTCTAATAATCTTCTGTAGTTATTGTAAAGCTTGTGATATGCCAGAAAAGCGAAATTGCCTACAAATAAAGAAAAATATCAATGCAAATTCAATGTATGTTTATAAAAATTATGTATAAGTTCAAAGAACGTTTTCTCGATTTATTACATTTAAGCGAATATACATTTTATCGGGTACTTAAACGAGATTTTATATATGTTATATAGTCTAAACATTTGTAATAATTGCAATCTTACAACTATTCAACACGACCTAATAATAGTAACCAATAATTATAGTTCCGTAAATATAAATAATACAAATAATAATTGAATAACGATTTCAACTCGCATCTCTAAATAAATTCAAGGTTTTTTGCAAACAGAATGTACACTTTTGGTCCTTTTTGTGAGTAATGTTTTGGAGAATCCGAGAGGGAGGGGATGATGATTGAGATGGGATAGATTGCTATTTTTTAAAGTAAATGAAAACGCGTCGGAACCAAAAAGCCACTGGATATACACGAGTATTTTAAATAAATAGTTGATATTTTTATCACTTCTAAAAAAAGCAACTTGTAATAATTCGAGAAAAATTCAAAATACAAAACCAATTCGATGCAAGTTTTCTAAATATTATTATCTAAAACATGACGTTGTTAAAAGTTAATGTAAATAAATAATAAATAGTTTTAAGGTTAATGATGAAAAAAAAAGCTTAACTTAATATTGTTGAACTTGAATATTGATTTTTCTCTGTTAATTGTAAATTAAAAGTATTTTATAAGATTTCACATAGTGTACAATTTTTTGTAGATAGAACATTAACATTCTGTAAAAATGTGTTCTTACTGTAGTAAATTAAATAACGAGAATATTTTAGTTACACACTTCGCTGTCATTTATTTCGTTGACCTGAATTTGTTCACTTCGTTCAGACTCTGGGAGAACAGTAGCGTACCAATCTATACAAATATGAAGAGTTTGTATGTTTGTATGTTCTGATTATTATCTCTGATATTACTGATCCGAGTTTGAAAACTCCTTTAGTGTTAGATTGTCCATTTACCGGGGAAGGCTATAGGCTATTGTCATTATTATAACATTGATCTACTACCGATATAAGCTGTAGCAGAAATTAGGAAAATATCACACAGATGATGTTGCGCTGGTCAGTTTGTTTTAATTTATAGTGATTGCCACTATAAATTAATGATAATAATTTGATGTAGCAGAGGTAGATCTACCACTGTAGAGTTATATATATAATATTACAAACTAATAAACGAAAAATTCCTATGCGGTCGAAGTACATGCGAGAGGTATATCAGCGAAATCTTCCAATGATCTTCTAAAAGATCTCTTGGCTTGTCTAGAACTACGCTAAGTTCTATACTAGAATGTGAATCTATAGCTGCACAAGCAGGCTGCTATCAGATTTAGCTGGGCAGGGGGAGAAACACGAGCGGTGAAGGTGAGTGTTGACGTATACTACACCCGGTTCACGTGACGGCGTAAATGTACATAGAGATAGCATATTAAATTGTAGTTTTTTTATTAATATACATAACCAAAAACAGTTTTCATTATATTACACGATTGAGCCTTCATCTGAAAGCAGTCTCGTCTGGATCGTGACGCCGGCTTTAAAGAAAAAAACAGTGATATAGATTATATATGTAGAGTTTCCTGCATACCAACTTACTATATTACAAAAATAACCTATGACACCGCAAACGTTATTTAGTACTATAAATTAAAATTTCTATTAAAAATAGGGGTTGGTGATAGAAGGGTGAGAATTTAGAGTTGTATGTATTTTTTAAAGCCATTAACTAATAATAATAAAATTATGTTAGGAGTGGACAATCCTTATCATTTAAAAGTATGAAAAATAGATGTTGGGCAATTCTCAATACACAAACAATTTCATAAAAATCAATCAAGCAATCAATTTAAGGAGTATGGTAAGTAACATTGTGACAGGAGAATATTATATATAAGATCGTACTCCCATCAATCGACTATCTGGGCCGAAAACGTTACATCATTGAGTAAAATCCGTCAAAAAATAGATACTAAACAGTTAATTGGCCGATACAATACAAGTATTATGTATATGCATGGTTGCCCACTGAAGCCCTACGTTATAACACGAATTATAACAGCGAAGCATTTCAAGTCACTGTTACCTACACACGCAGACGGGTAAGTTGTATACCTATGTAATACTTTCCACCGTTATAATCATAGACATGTAATAAAATGTAAACGAGTAATCTATGTGGATTAAATATGCTACAATAAAAAAAAAATCTATTCGTAACTATATAGTACACGCTAATCTAGTAAGTAGACTGCAATTATCGATTTATTTTATTACAATACATTGACTACTATCTCTATCACCATCAAGAACTGCTACAGATAGTATCCAATATTTAAAAAAAACACCATATTAGAGTAGATTTGCTTTCAAACGTAAATTACGGTAACATTATCTGAACTTGTAACTTTTCGTCTGAGTCCTTGTTTTTTTTTCATATTTTTTTTCTTCCTTTTTTAGTGGCAGTAGATGATATTCCATTGTCAAGTTATTAAATAGGTATTTATGTATGGTTTATATATATATATATATATATATATGTAGTGTATGTATGCTAGTTATTCATATATGTATATTTGTATGGGTATCGTTCAATATATTTGCACCGCCAACAATTACTCCCTGCACCACCCATGGTTGACAAGTAGATAATGCCGCATGTTGTTAAGTCCGTCATATGTACTTTAAAATTATGTGCATTAAAATTTAAATAAATAAATATTTAAAATTAAATCCAATCAATTTTCCTTACCTAAAAGAAATGTGGCACAACTCTATAGCTCTTACCCTATAAGAGCAATCTTAATAGACGACACTTTTTAGCTTATAGCGGGGAAAGCTGTGAATTATTCAAGAGTCTGTTTGAGTAAAACAAACCAAAAAAAATCTAGTGTTTATAACTTCAAATTAACAGTTTTTCAATACATGAACTATGAAAGAATATGCAGTACTTACACAGTAACAGTTAGTCCTCAATAAATTCATAACTGTGACAACGAAACTTTCATAATTATTGATAAAACAACAAATGTTCCTTCATATTTGTGGTTCACTTGTAAAAACATGTAGAATAGGTAGTAGATACATGTTCTTTTTTGAGGGACATAAAATTTCTATACTAAAAGGAGAGCAGCGAAACTTTCTGCTTACTTATTCGCACATTACAAATATTTATATTCATGAATAGAAATGTTTGTATTGTCTGAATGTTTTCTATGTATATTGTGTCTGTATTTACAAAAAAAAATCGAAGTATTTACATCAGTGTAGACAAAGTAGCGAATAACAGCAATTTACTTATAAATATTGTTCATATGTACCTCTGTGTTTGTGTCTAGCATATAAGAACGAGAAGAACAAGTTCTCGGTTAGCGTAAGTAATTAAAAAATAATAACCACGCCGCAGTCACTTGGCCAGTCTCCTCACACATAACAGACGGCAAACAGAAAAGACTAGAGAAGCAGCATTTCTATTTCAGATATAAATTTATTAGACTTTGTAAATTGTGTATATATAAATATAGCTTTAGTTCATTACATAGTATAAAACAACGTGCTTGTCTCCGGTTCTACTAATTTAAATTGAAAATATCTTGTATTATATAGCCAATATATAGAGGAAGGCTCGACTATAACATCATGCTTAACTTATAGGAGCAACAACAAAAAATACAAAAAACGGAGAAGTTTTTATTCCTTTTGAGAACACTGTCCGTCACCCACCGTCAACTATTTATTATATATATGCTATTTTAATAATTACCACAACAAGATAAATCAAACACACAGCGTCATCTAGTCCTAAACTAAACAAAACTTATGGGTACTAAACAACTGATAGAAAGACATAAATACATTTCTTTTGATAGCCTAATACCCGAATATCATTTATGTGTTTTGTAATTATAAATGGTTATTCATATATAGATTCATACAAATAGAAAAATACTGTACGTGACGTAGTTCCTCATAATTTAGATTGTATTTTTTTAATACATTTTCTTGACTATGTTCTCAGTTGTTTTCTGTTTGTCATGTAATGAACATAGTATTTACTAATAGCAATAAATCACCTTGTTACATAGAAAAGTAAAATTATAGTCCACAAATATCTAAGAAAATATAAAAATCGTGAAGAGTAGTCAGTATTTATTTTATTCAGTCGTAATTTATTATTTAACTAAAATTCTGGTAATTCTAACTGGTTTGTGTAGAAGTTGCATATATACAGACTCTTTCACTTTCTTTCATACTTCATTCACATAATAATAAGTACATTACGTATCTATATATCATTACGTACATTAATAATAAGATATATGTATTATCCAATTTCAGTTGATGAAATTATTATTATTATATATACACAGCTTAACTAATAAAACAATGAAATATTTTCTAACCGATATTCATAATTGAAATCTTTATAATATCACCTGCCTATTATTAATTAAATAAGAACTTCAAAAATAGATACACGTATAATTAGATGTAGACATACATACAAAGTAAATTGCAAAAACGAACTAGACATGCAGTATAGTATCCATACACGGCACCAGGTTATAAAAATAGAAAATAAAAATGACTAGCTCGGACCAGGGATGCCAACCGTACGGGGATCCTAGTACAATTACGAATTTTTAGCGATATGAAGTAGGATATTTTCGTCCTCATATAAACTTGTACGAGATTTTGACCTATGATAATAAACCAAATTACTAGGATTACGAGATTAGGTTAAGCGGGGATACAAGATTTTAGCAGATTTTTTATTTCTTCGTACGATGCTAAGTTTTTTAAGGTTGGCAACCCTAGCAGGTACCGTGGAACCGGTAGGCTGGCAGATGGGTCTTGCATCTTTTTACTTTACCATTTGTGGCGAATCTCTTGGGAACATTCCAACGACGCTTTTGTGCTAATAATTAGCGAACTAGATGTAGGCATTTTAACGATGGTTTTGGACATTGCCACTTTCTTCTCTTTGGTGTTATACTAGACCTCATGTGAAGTGCTAAAATTAATAAAAAAATATTGCGTATAAACTAAATTTGTTTTTAGTAATATTCGTAAAAGTGGGTTTGCATGAAGTTAGTTTAATTTATTTCGAATCTACCACTCATATATTACTATACTATACAACTATGTATTTAAGTTACTGTCTAACGGAAACTTGATAGGGAGTGTTATAATAAAAAAAATAAGAGATACATAATCTCACTCTCTCTCTAACTCCGACTACTAGACGACCCAGAGGCCTAAACCGGTGCCTCTATATCCTGTATGTATCCTTAATTTTGATGATCACTATAAACAATTTTTACCAATTCATCTTCTAAATGCAATAAGTTAATTACAAGACAATATATGCAGTTACTGATAAAAAACTAGTCTGAGTATGAGATTCTAAACACTAAGGTGACGTAAAAGCACAAAGTAAAACCTGCGATGTCATTGAAATAAAATCACTATATATATTAAGGCAGCGGTGAATATTATTGCTCTGTCACTACATTAAGATGGTCCAAAATATTATAAATTTAAAGCCAAGTTAATAGAGATCTCATATACAAATGCGGTAAACCCAATACAGAATAAATTCTTAATATAAGTGTTCTACCTTCTCATTTCACTAATAAATTGTGTTACTATTTCATAATTAGTAGGGGACTTGAATATCTTACGGAAAACGAAAACGTTGTGGTTGTCGTATTTCGTAACAATATGTTTGTACCTCATCCGGAAGTTTTCTTCTGGGTGAATGCCGCGTCTATTACAACGTCTCACTTATAAAGTCGAAATAATTATAGAGAAAGATGATAATGTTATGCTACTAATAAAAAAATATTATAAGCCACAAAGACACAACGCAACTTTTTATAACCAATTAATTTTATTTCAGTTAGATATTGACTATCACAATAATTTTATAAAATTTGAATATGCTTTTATAAATTTAACGCGGTAATTATGTTTACATTCATTCTCGTTATTGTATTGTATTAAAGATATGTATTAACCGTGATTGAACGGTTGAACCGGTTGAACGCAGCAGAAATATCAATTAAATATGAAACTTAGTAAGATCATATCCTGTCGTTTCTTTAGTATTACGTGTTAATGAAATTACTCAAATCAAAATATTTTTTATGATATATATTGGCAAGTGTTTATAAGTATTTTTAGCCAAGAAACCTGACGGGAAACTTGACTCTTAAATTTATAGAGTGTAGATATAGTTTTACAGATTAATACTAAAATTGAATTAACAGAACAAACAAAAAGAAAATTATTGTAAATTATTTTCTCAAACAATGTTTATGTATAGATCGTACTGATTGGCAGGAGAATATTGGTTTATTGTGCGATCTTTGTCCTATAACAGCAACAAAATAAAAATGAAAATTCAACGGTCTTGGGAGACCAAGTCCCAACGTATCGAAACGAAAGCAAACAAAGAAACACTAACGCACACACGCACATTACCTAACAAGAACTGCGAAATTCATTGCTCGGTGTACTGTGGCTGCAATAAATCAGCCTAGGTTTACTAGATAAGGAGATCCATTAGATGCGTCTTCAAGTTTAAGACCGGTTCCAGAGTGTGCTGCGAGGGTTTATAAGCGGGTGTCTGGACAACGGTAGGCATTCCTGTGTCGTCAGCCCTGGACATCCGAGCCTTCACTATGTGGCAGATATTCGTGTTGGCCCTTCTCGGTTCTGCGGCTGCGCAGATTCCGTCTCTAGGATGGTGTCCAGATTTTCAGGTAATTTAATTATATGTTACTGTTTTTCTTCTATTTTTATTTTAATATGATTTATTTCACTTTGTTTTCGTATATTTAATATTGTAATAATAGACTAAATGAAAGTTTCTATATTTGTTAACAATCGTACTTAAATAGCTGAACTGATGACGTATGAAATTTGGTTTACAAATAAATCATATCTTACATTATACTATTATGTATAGGATACTTTTATCTGAAATAACGTTAGCAGCACCACGGGATTTAGCTATCACGTCCATAAATAAATTACTATACTAAAGTTACTTTAATTAAAAAGTTTTCTCATTTAATTCTCTTTATATATTATCTATTTAAAAATTACATTATCCTCAACTTCGATAATTTTAATTGTCCAGGACCTGGGGAGGCATCTATAAATTATTATCAGTTTATGCTTAAATTCTTAGAGACATTAAATAACACTACTCATATATAACAAACTCATAACTGTTCATTGTTTTTTATAAAAATATTTTCGGTGGTAAAAGAAATATTTAAATTTCTAATTTTTTTCTAATTACTTTCTTCTGCCCCTGCCAATTTTACAGAGTACAGATTTAATTAGAAACTATTGTCTCTTTTATAATGTTAAATGCAATAGTAAAACTTAGTTGATTGAAGACAACAAAAAACTGTTGTTTGGTTTTAAAAATATTCGTCAACTGATTAAACCTTTTTAACTTTTCCATAAAAAATTCCTTTTCGTTTTAGTTATTTTCTTAATTGGAGAGAAAATGACAAAAATGTATTATTTAAACTAATGAGGACAATATTAGATTTCATTAATAAAGAGGTAATATCATAAAAAAATTAACACACAACAACTTTAAGAAAAAAGATCTAAACGGTTCACATTATTGAAAGCAAAATTAATCTTATTTTCCTTTCAACTTTGAAGCGGTATCAATACATTATACTCTACCGCCATGTTCGACGTTATTCATTAAAAGTAAAATATACATATTTTTTTAAATACAGAATTGTACACGCAAAAAGCTTAACTATACATCTATAACGCAAATTTAATGAAGAAGCACACTTAATTGATAAGAAGTTACGAAGATAAAAAAAGTAGCTTGAACTCGCTATCTAAATTAATGTTAGGCATTGAAAGTAAAATTAATCAGCTTCAATATAGATCAGTTCAATCGATCTCACGGCTATATCTCAACCTTGACCTTAGATCTACAATTACATCGGATTGTAAATCTTATATAACATATCGCAGACAACAGGACCGGTCGGGTGCCGCGGTCATTAACACTCATTGGGCCGACTTTCATTTTCAGTTATCGCCTTTGGCATCAAGTTTTCTATTACACGATTCTCAGTCATTGCCTTACTGTATATTGACCGTGGTTATGCCTGCTGTGAATCTTCCGATCAAATAAAAAAAGAATTTATATAGTTTCAATTTATCATTTTTTTCTAAGTATATCGTCATATTTACAGTGTAAATTTAATTGTCAAGAATTAATAAATGACTCGGTTTTTACTGTTTAAAAATCATACAATATTCTACAATTTTATGTATTTATATGAATACATAAAGTTTAGAGTTAATACCTACTAGAATTTCGAGAAATTTATATTTAGTGAATACACCTAGGTTGCTTTTAAAGTAAACTATTTTGATATTTACAAGAATCTAAACTTTTGTGACGGCCTTGGTGGTGTAGAGGTTTAGCACAACTTCTAATGGGCGCTGGTTTGATTCCTCGTACGGTGTAAACGTTTGTATTTATGAGTACGATTGTGTGTGTCGGTCTAAGTATTTTCTATATGTATATTATGTACGTATTTACAAAAAATATATATATCTAAGTATATAGTCGGCAGTCTAGTACCCATACCACAAGCTCTGCTTACTATGGGATTAGATGACGCTGTATTAATTGTACCGGCTTATTCATTTATCTAAATTATTATATTTAAGCGACGGTTTTTTTCCATACAGCCAATGGCTAACTTCAGCATGAACCGCTTCCTCGGAACGTGGTATGAAGCCGAGCGATACTTCACCGTCAGCGAGCTGGCTAGCCGCTGTGTCACCACCAACTACGTGAGCACCCCCGAAGGCAGGATACTGGTCGCCAACGAAATCATTAATTACTTGTTAGTATTCTTGTCCTAAACTAATATTATGAACAGGAAAGACTTGATTTTTTTGTTTGTAATGCACGAACTAAAAACTTATCGATTTAAACCTAAAGGTCATCAGAGAGTAAAATGTGTATTTTATACTCGAATTGCCTACAATCATTGCCAATATGATATAGTGCAATACAGTACAGGTACTTTTTCCAATCGTTAATCACATGATAGAAAACATCGATCACAAAGCATTAGAGCCTTCACACATTTATCAAATGCAGCAATCGAACGAGTACAACAATCGTCTCACTGAACCTAATAATGCGTGAGCTCACTTACTCTTCTTACATTATCTTACAGAACCTCTCTCATAGATACATGTAATTTCCAGTGTCCCTTGATTTCATGCTCGTACCGAACACAATTTGTGACGGCCCTCTGTGGCCTAGCAGTTTAACACATCTTACTGTACTGTATTATATTATTGTATGTGTACTGTATTCGTCTGGGTATATTCTATGCATACTTATTATGTATTTACAATAAAAAAATGTGTTTAAGTATTTATAGTATATCAGTTGTATAGTACCCATAAAACAAGCTCTGCTTACCTTCAGACTAGATGGCCCTGTATGAATTTTCCAGGGTTATTATTATTAACTATATTAATACTATTATTATTATTATTATATCTTATAATGACAAGTCAGATTTGACGTCAAGGGCCTGTATACTGTAATTAACTGATTTAACTTATAATTTGTTTAAAATATGTTATTATTATGCAAATACTATATCTAATCATAAGTTATTAATTTCTTGTTTTCGAACCATGCCAATACTGTTGGCCGCAGCTGGCCCAGTCATTAGTCCTGAGATACAAATACTCTTATATACTTTACCTATTACTGAACATAAAAATAAAGCATTAACATTTCCTATAGCAGTTGGCTGTATAGACCTGATTTAAGGACAATAAAATATGCCGCATACGTAGTCACTTTAATATTATTATATTTCTCTAAAAAATAATTATTACAAAATTTTATATACTATATAATAATATAATTTCATTACGTTTTGATTGAATTTGTAAATTGTTTTCTTGGAAAATGTAGCAATTATTATCTTCAGGACTGGGGTGAAACGGGTGATGGAAGGCAGTCTTCAAATGATCGGCCGCGAAGGCGAAGGTCGTATCATGGTGAAGTACTCTTCCCTACCTCTGCCATATGACTACGAGTACAGTATTTTGGACACAGACTATGACAGCTTTGCAGTCATGTGGTCTTGCAGCGGTTTGGGACCAGTTCATACTCGTAAGTTTATATATTACATTTTAAAGTCTGCGTAACGGTTGATTGCTATAAACTAAAAAAGTACAGCGCATAAGTAAGAAAGTAATTTTTGCTAAATTGAAAACGAAATGTACATTCTATGTGATTGTATTCCACTACGCCGAAGAAAAAAACATCGCATCCAAGATTATCATTAAATTCCTACCTTTGAAGGTAGTGAACTATAAAGTCTGTGAACATAATAAATATCTGAAGATACAGTGTCACATACTGGTAATTAATAATAGCCCAAGAAATCCAATGAAAAAGGTTGAATGCTTAAATAATTACAGTACTGAAACTTGGCAATATGTAAACATTTAACCGAATTTAGAAAAAAAAGTAAATACTATCTGTATCGATTTTTCAAACCTGAGCTATTCTGAATTGAACTTCATCTTATAGTCTAAACCGTTAATTGCGGATAAGCTGTTAATATCAGGAAACTTCTTAATTTCGACAAGAAGTATATTAGTATGCGAATATCAAATGAGTACTTGTTAATAAATTTTGGACCAAATAATTGCTAGACTACATATAGATTTAACCTAAAATACTAATATTTAATACTTATACCATTTTTCATCGTCGGAAAAAATCCTTGTATACTTGTGAAACTAATAATTAGATTAAGCGGAGTATTTAACAGAATTTCAATTACTTGATCCATAGTCAAAACATTGTCTTGATGCACCTATAAATGATATAGTTACTATTCTTTGCCCATCATTTTATAATATAGACATACTGAAATAATATGAAGAAAAATTTTGTTAACAGAAAGTGCATGGTTATTAACACGTGATAGACTGGCGGCTGCGAATATAATGCAGAGGGCATACGCTGTTCTCGACAAGTATAAGATCTCCAGAGCTTTCTTCGTAAAGACCAGTCAGGCCGACTGCACTGTGTTGCCCGACCCTGCCGCTAGTCCCATATCAGGAAAGAACTCAGGATTAGTCAACGAAGCTGCAAAAGAACTCGATGAAATTGAAATACCCGCATCTGAACCTGTTAAGGTAACGCAATCTTTAATCTAAATATTTAAGTTTAAATATGAAATGAGTAATGATAGTGAAGTGACTTGTAATTTCGCAACCTAACCTAACCGAAAGGGAAAAAACTAAAGTATCAGGCCTGTCAATTAAAACATATAATGGCCTGTTAAAAAAAAACATATAATTATATTTATTATATAATTTTATTTGTTTTCTTCTGTTCGTGTGTGTGTGACTGAACTCTTGCTAAACAGTACTAGAGTTCCAAATTTGTTTAAAAATATGCCACCGATACGAATATACCACGTTCAGGCTGAACATAATTTAGCACATGCTAGTTAAATATAATTTTTACTTAATGAGCTTTTCTTAATTAATAATAATTGAATAATGCACCCGCCTGCGGCACTGCGTCTAACGGTTAACGCTGGCGAGGCACCAGTGGAAACTGATTAGATGGCTATGAGGTCGGGACAGTAAGCCCATCGTAGCGTATTCATCAGTCCATATTGCTAACAATCCCCTTCATCCTCGTGATGTGAGTTTAATATTAATCATTATTTTTCAGGCAAGCGAAATTCCACAAAACAAATTGCCGGTCAAAGCATCCGAACCAGAGGTAAAGGCACAACAGGTTCCCGAAATTATTTTATCCGAATCAGAAAAGATCGAAGCAGAGAAGGAGAAATCAGCGGGCCCTGTAGTAGAGGTACAGCCGAAGGTGGCCGAGAAACTGAAAGAAAAAGAACCAGTGAAAGCTAAACAATCCTGATTATTTTGCCTCATCAGGAATTAGACGTAGTCTTTAATTGTGATCAGCCGTGTGACGCTTCTCTAACACGATAGGGCTACATTACCAAATAAGTACATACAATCGAAACTCGATATTCGGACAATCGATTTCATTTGAGTATCGAATAGTTATAGTCGCAATAGTCACTACATTTGTAACGAAAGGGGAATCAGTTTGAAAATAAATGATAAATAAGATAATATACGTGTTTCATTGCGTCAAATTCTGAATGTACATTCACCTTAAGTATCTATCTAGGTATATAAATAACATAGTAAAGTTACTGTGTCTATAAAAATATAATACTATTAAGATTGTGAGTTGTGAGCGATTTGTGAAAATTCTTTTAGTGTTGGAATGCTCATGTATCTAGGAAAGCTATAAGGTTATATAACATCACGTTACATCCAGTGGGAGATAGACGTGCGATGAAAAAGGTAATAAATAATATTTCGAAAAGCATATACACACCTGTATCTTTTTGTTTCTTCTACCTTCTTCAAAATATTCTTCTTCATAGCTTAAAACATTTCGACATCTTGCTGTATCTACTGTGGCTTATGGCACTTGTACAAATAGAAACCTACCAAAATAAAAAAATCTATACTCAATTGTAGGTATGTTTATTTAAATTAAAATATAGGTAAGTACTATTATTGTCATTATTTATTCATTCCAAAAGCAAAAAAGAATACCTGACAGTAATCTGCGTTTAGCCCTTTTGTTTCGATGACAGTGTCGGTAAGTAGTTAAGTACTTACAGCGCTCAGTAGCATTCATTATAGGGCGATATATTCCACAAAAAAGAAATAATTTAATTTATATTTTCTATACTTAATAACATAACAATACTTAAATATGTATTATATGCTGTGTTTCAATTTTATTAGCAATTAAAATAAAAGGATAAGCATATAGCCCTCTAAAATGCGTCTATCAGAAAGATAAAATCGATATGCCCGTGAGGTGAGTTATCTTTCTAAACTTAATTTCAAAAATACAGAAAAAAACAAATCATCACAACTGCTATCCCAGTCAATCGACGTCATGATAAACGCAACACATTAGCTGGGTATAATTGAATCCAACGTGGCCGGACTACTCCTCGATAAAGATGTTATAGTTTTTAAATTATACAAAAAATAATTATTTTAAATAATTACTAATAATAATAATTGCTATACTTATTAATAATTAATAAAAAAATAGTCATTATTGAAATAGTACACAACAAAAGAATTGGGTCTGATTGTGTTGGTCAGGCTGTTACTGAGCACCCACTCCCGGCCGCTATCCCACTACTGCCCGATACGGGGACTTTTGGCTGCTGGGTTTCCCCTCTGGCCCGGTTCGCCCCTCCTTAGTGAACCTGCACCCCCCAGACTCCTCCGGGGGGTCCATATTAATACCGGGCTTAGTGTGGACGTCCAGTCAACATGAGCCACTCAGCACCAGGACTCCCGACCTCAAACCATCCTCCAGTTCCAACCTCCGAGTAGCCGGATTACAGGAGACGCCACGCTCCCGGTGAAGTAATCGAGTAAAATTAAGAATCACTAGCCAGTTAAAAGTAGTGCGTTCAAATATTATTAAAATTATAATATTTTTATTATTGTTATTTGATATACTTTCTCCTTTGTTTCTATATTTAATCAATTTTGTCGAATATTATTACAAAAATAACAATATAAATGAAAATTATACGAAATAATTTAAAAAGCAGCATGCGCGCCATCTCTTATAAACTAATGTAACTAGATAGGACGAGTTATGGATCTCGTGACTAGCCGCTGTTATAGAGGGCGTTCTTCACTATTTCATTCCGACTCCTCAAATGTATTTTAAATGAAAACAATAGCTGTTTTTAAATCTCTTCAACATTACTTTTTATGCAGCTACGTGAAACAATAATAAAAGTTAGTTAATAATATTTATTAATTAGTATTCCTAATATGAAATATTCAACAAAAACTTTGTCGTTTTGCATTTAAGTGTAAATTAGACATATTATATCAAAGTTACCTTTCTAGTGAGTAACTTTTTTCTAGAGAAAATGATTGAATGATGAACCCCTGTACTAATTGCTATAATTGAATAGGCTGGTTGGACACCTACCAGAAAATGATGATGAAAAGATGATGTATGTGATGTACTGAATAACTTTAATGACAATGAAAAATTTTGCTACAATTTTATTTAATAAAGCCAAATTAGTTAAATAATACTTATGTATATAATGTGACCTAAAGTTAGGTCACACTATATAGGCATTTTTACGTTTTCTCTAGATTTTGAAAGGTAATTAATTAACATTAAAATTAAAGCTCACATAATCACGGTTAGTTTGTGTACAAATAAAATAAACAGGGAAGTAGCGAAAATCTTAAACTCACATTATTTATGTCCAGCTTCTCCAATTTTTATTAGAGAATAAAATTTAGATATGACACTCGTTTTTTCTTTAAAGTTCGAAGTAAGACAAGTAAGATTTCTTTTTTTTTTTATTGATGACAGATGTCAATCGCTTGACAACTTTTACGGCTCTGGACCCCCGTGATTACATATTGTACTTAACCTAAAGTAAAAATATGATATAGGAAGGAAAAACGTATATATTATCTTATCTATGCTTATATATAGATTGGACAAAATTATTCATCCCGGTATATAATTATATAAATTAAATTAAAACAATGACAAATAAAAAAATACCTGAATTAAAAATATGTTATATTTTTCATATTTTATATAAATTAAATAACACATCGAACTTGTACAAACACCGTTAAATCTTAAAATGTGTGATCTGCAGTAGCTGTAAATTTTTTTTATCAATTTTGATTTTAATATATCTATATGAATACTAATATTACAAAGAGGTAAAGTTTGTGACTTAAGATTATCAGAGTAATTTCCGGTACTACTGATGCAATATTAAAAATATGTTATATTATATTATCTGTGTTAAGGGTAAACAGTTTAGGTATATACCATATGATGTCAATAAGAGAATAGGTAAATGTGACGCAGATGAATTTGCGCGGGAAAGCTATTATAAGAAAAATGATAAATTGATACAAATAAAAATAAATCTAAATTTATTATACAATGTTCACTGTTACACAACTTTTTTAAAAAACCTTACAAACATATTAAAAGAAAAGTTATTAATATAAGTTTTTACCTTTTCGTAGGATTATCCATGTGTAGGGGAAAGCTCATCGGCAAAGTTTATAAGAGAATACCCGTGTGAAGTCTGTTTAGTTTGATATAGTTCTACTCTAGAGTCGACGTTAGACCGGTCAGTGACTACACGGTTATCGAGATCTTGTATAAAAGTATTAAATTTACAAATAAACACCACACAGCCACTTCCTGAACATACGATATTCAAGGTGAGTTCATAATTTTATTTAAGGCCAGTTACATTCGATTCTTTGGTTCTTTTCAAATATTTAAAATTATTAATTTAATATATGAGATATATTTATTTTTCATATTTTTAGTTATAATTAAAAGTAAGTATCTATGAAGTTTAGAAATTTAAAGCTAACTGTATAATATTAAAATTGCAATACATACATTTATTTTCAGATATATGGTGTTTTTTAGGTTTTTAAGTTTTAAAAATAGACGAGTATTTTTACATGTATTCTAAATCGAGACAAATCTATAAAACCTTACAGAACGTTTATTTTAATATTCAGCTACTTATAAATTAAATGTAAGATCTTTGTAAATTTACTTTGTTGTGATAAAAAGGATTATATTCATTTAATATATTTTTTATTTAGTAAAAATATTATTGCAGAGTGCTCCGATTTTGATGGTTCCTATTTTATTACAAAGCATGCGTAATGTAACCTATCGGTATAACTGTTTACCTATAAATCACCATTATGATTATATTATATAATACATACAACTATACAGTTCCATTGCAGACATGGTTTGTGCTTAAAAGAGTCCGAATTAAACATTAATCTTTTAGCAACAAAATGGATAGACATAATACTTATTATTAAATACTAATACTATAAATGCAAATATGTCTGTTAATCTATCTGTCTGTTTCTTTGTTACCTTTTCGCCTTTATACGGCTGAACGGTTCTAAATGAAATTATATTCTATTTATATATAGGCTACCGTATTTATTAAAAACAGACGTAATCGCGGAAAAAATACTTATAACTAATATCTTAATTTAAATAATTAAGTATTACTGCATATATATTTATACAGCAAGGTCACATAAGCTCGTCAATTTGACGTTTAACTCATTTTAACCAAATTTTTATTGTATAATATAAACACATGAAGGTCGAGGTTCCGCCTAAATTAATTATTTATTTTATTTAATAATAGTTATTTAGTTTGTATACGTTATTATTAAATTATATAATAAATCCCTAAGAACTCATAACATACTCAAGTGGTTACATTTATATTCCATGTTATCTGAAACATTACTGTCATACCAAATTGCATCTAAGTCATAACTTCTAATCTTCAACATGCCATACTAAATTAGTCTGTGAAATAGTTTAAAAGATGGAAATGTATGTACAATAGGTAGGAAATAGGCTAGGTACTGCGAAATGACAAATACACACAAATTCTAACCTGCATGTCTAAACAATCTAGGATGAATGCTTTCAATTACATCACGGAACAATTAGATGGCTTTCTGTCGAGGTCCTGGGAGATAAGCATGAGCTAAAATACTTTAGCGATCCCAAAGTATTTTAGCTCATGCTTATCTTCTTGAAAGCGCCTGAATCTTATTAGGTTCAGACGATAGAACACTGTATTTAATTGTACTGCCTATAATACGGGGTTACTTAGTTTAAATTGTTTAAATAAAGTTTATACTTCTTATTTAGCTTTATTTATATTTCTTATCTCAGCCTCAAAATTTTTTTTAATTGTTCAATTGAACAGAGTATATCTCTGTTCGATTGATCAATTTAGAAAAATGTATCAGTGCTACTGCTAGGTAGCACAAGAATCCTGGAGACTGACAAACAATAATATTTTCTATATTGAAGTGTTATAACGTCGAGAATATGAACCGGGGTTTCAAAAGCTAATATTCCTACTTAAATATACAAATTGCCTTTTCAATTCTATTATCTGTCACTATCCCTTATAGCTGGCAGCTTTACATATTATCGACAATAGCAGCAGGCCAGTTTCCCGTTAGACGATACCGTAAAAGCCGGACCTAGTAAGGATACTTGTCCCAGTTTTCTTTGCTATGCAATTTCCCTCTCTTGTATTTACGAGTTATGCTCATTAACGGTATGTTCACCTCGTCTCGGTCAGTTATTACCTCTTCACTTTATAAAGTCGATGCACTCAAGATCTTATTCGAAATGACTTGAACATCTTGAACATATACCTCGTTTTCATTTGTGCAAAACGTACATAAATAATAATGCATTATATAAGTTGCATAGAATATTTTTTCCATGCTACGATACATTTCTTATAGAAACCGTTTATATTTATATTCTACCAGTAATCCGCCCCGGCTTCGCACGGACCCAATATTTGTTAACGAATTTTTAAGAGATGGATTCATATCATGTTTATTGTTTTTATATTTGGCAATATAGCATTATTTTAGAAGAAATTTGATTACCATAAAAAGGATTATAGTGAGTTAACCATATGTTCGTCGCACTTTTTTTTAGAACTTTTAAAGTAGAACAATTCTGACAAACATACATATTTCTTATTTTAACCGTTTACCCAACGCACGCAGCGGAGGCACTGAAAAGAAATATTTTTTGTCACATTTTTCATCGCTAATATACCTTTCAAACAGTGAAAGAATTTTTTAAATCGGATTAGCAGAACTGGAGGTTACCCTGAACAATCAAACATATAAACTTTATCTCTTTATAATATTAATATAGAAGTATAGATTGTCATACATAAGCATTATATAATTAATTAAGTAAGAGGGGCTTTGTCTTTAAGACTAATGATAGAAGGGGGCATATAGCGCATTTTATGATGTTTATGGTACTGATCAAACAAACGATAGATACACTTTATGTCTTTAGGCAGAAGTGCAGCCATACTACCTTTATCAGATGAACTACCCAATTAGATTGTTCGACATTCTAGTAGTGTGGTAAAAAATATTAAAGCATTGACTTCCATCGTGTCATGATCTTAAAAACAATAATTTTCATTTCAGATGTCCATATTGCGGGCTATTGCGGTGTTCCTATGCGGGTTACGGCTATGCAGATCACAATTGGCTTTCCCAGGAAACTGTCCAGATATTAGCGCGATGGTGGACTTTGATCCTACTCGGGTAATATATTTTAATCAATATGTTGCTATACATTGCTGCACTGAAATCATCACATACTTTGGTTTCTTTAAAACACTCGTAAGAATAAATTACGTTTGCGCAATTTGGGAATGTGTTAGTGTTATAGGGGTCCTAGGACCATACATATCTCCTTATTGTTATAGGGGCCTAAACCATACAATAATAATGAAAACCATTCGCCTGTAAGCAACGCTAAAATGCCAGCTTATAATAACACTATTGGTGCTTTAAATAAAGCATCTTTATAACTGAAAGACATATTAATACTCCACAGAATAAATATATAAGACAATAATGTTCACATAGATGATAATATAAAACTCTTTTACAATAAGCGGTAAGAGAGATACAGAAATAAATTATATAAATTTTTCTTATTAATATTTACAGTACACGGGAAAATGGTATGAAGCTGAGAAGTATTTCTTCTTATTTGAGTTCGGGGGCAAATGTGTGACGGCCAATTTTGAAACCAAGGACGATGGAATTATGACAGTAACCAACAAACAGCTAAGTAGTTTGTATGTATTTACTGATATTTATATTAACTTCGTTGTACACTTCATGTATTTATTTACTTCACATCAGTCAAAAAAATATAATATGTATAGCTGTATAGAATTTAATTTATGAAACCTACGTAAAAATTGTACTTCCGTTGTGTTCTAGAAGCAATTTAGAAATGTAACATTTCTTATAAAATTATTTATAGTCGTAAATTTAGAAACCGATAATTCAACAACAATCTTTACTAATACTTCTAAGATACTTATCTATGAAAAAAAGTGTAACAGGTACATTGTTTACTCTTTATATATGTAAATCAATCGATCACAAGTCAGGTAAACAAAATCGTAAGCCGAAACTTGTTGTATTTCCTAAAGATATAATATTATGTGACAGAATGAGATTTTTGATAAAAACAATGTTTTTGAAGTTAGGTTAAGTTGGTTGCATCCACTTATTTTACTTTAGGCGAAATTAAAGGTAAAACAAATAATGTACTTATTTCCTCCACCGGCTTATTGAAACTATATATTGTTTTCCAAATTCCAGCACGGGCATACAATCAGAGATTGACGGCGAAGCTACCCAGATAAGCCGATCAGACGAGGGCAAGTTGTCCGTTCGTTTTCCCTCACTACCCGTCAACGTTGCGGCACCATATTGGGTCGTAGATACTGACTACGATAACTATTCTATTATTTGGAGTTGCAATGACTTCGGACTCTTCCATACTCGTAAGTGTTATTTTAGAATTACAGTTTTCTTTATTACATTCTGGCTCTTTAACCAATACCTTTATATAGTGTACGTATATCATACGTACGTCATACGGACTTGATAACACAACAAACTTACCTGTATATTAAAGTGAATTACGGTGTATATTAAGGCTTTATTGATTATCGTTCTGCTTATCGCATGTTTGAATTAATTTTAGAGTGTCTAAATAATAATAAAGTCACAAATATATAGCAATTGCATGCCCATTTTAATTTGTATTTTGACATAATCTTTATCTGAATATATACAATAATCATCTGCCGATTGATCTTATGGTTATCTGATAAGTTTAACTGGAGCATTATGAAGACAATTAATAAGTTATTTATTTAAGAAACTGATTGCACACTTAGCCATTACCTATATATATATAGGTCATATTATTATGTCTAGATAATTCAGTCAAAAAATATGAAATTTTCAGGTAACTCATGGATATTGACCAGAGAAAGAAATCCACCGCTATCAGTAATGGAGAAAGTCTACAAATCACTGGATAAGAACAATATTAACCGCTCTTATTTCCTCAGAACAGATCAGTCTAATTGCGTGGAGGATGATAAGTAAAATCATAAAATGATCATGAATTAATCAGCTACATATATTGAAACATTTTCGTATTTAGAACTGTTGTTATTTCTAATAGCTTAGAATTTTTATCAATCTATTTGAAATAACAACAGACAAATCCAAAATGAAAATGCTATGTACGATTTTTATAAGAAATGAACCCTAGTACTTAATATTTTCATGCATTTATTATTGTTAAGGAGATACGAGCTTCCATTTTCATGACCAATATTTTTAATTAAATGCTTATGAAAATGGACGCGTCGTACTGTAAGATTTAAACATTTTATAATATCATAGTATATAATGTAAATTCTATGAATATACTATTATTGATGTTGAAGTGTCTTCATTAACTAAAATTATGAGTAATTAAGACATAATCAAACAACAGACTCAAGAGCGAACAATTCAAAATCATTTAATAACATTAAACCGTAATACATTTATCTACAACTTAAATAAATTAAAGCCTTATACAAAACATGCTCTCCGCTTGAACTGATAACTCGCGGAACGTGTTGATTTTTTGATATATTTTCATGGAAGTATTTGTCACGTTTCAGCCAATCAATTTAGCATTGACTATTTACATTTCTCATAGCTTTATGTTTGTATTGCCTAAGTGGGTGCACTATCATCGGAATGCCAACTTTTCCTCTTCTCTCCTGTTGCTTCATCATAGGTAGGAGGAGGTGGTGGTAAATTCGCACTCTTGGTCTTTGTTGGTAATTTAGCTGGTTGTGCCAGACGTTCTTCTTCAGCTTCCTCTGGTATAGAGTCCCGTCGACGACTGTCGTACTCTGATAACACTGGTTGCGATATATTGTTGCGTTGTGCCAAACCCATCAAAGTTACATGTTGATACAAGCTAGTTTTGGAGCATATAAACAAAATATTATATGATTATATATTAGACTGAGCTTGCTGTGATAGAAAAAAAAAAATATATATTAATAATCTAACCCAATAAAAAACGTTTCATTTGAGTTAATGGTTATTAAATGTCATTTAATTATAACACATTCAAGAATTGTAAATTTGTGCAGCATTTTAGTTTTTACCAAAATTCATTTTTGCGGTTTATTTTTCTTAGTTTCTTGCGGTTCGGTTCATATTTTTCGTAACTCCATGCCGTATGTGTACATAAAAAAAGTAACTGTCTCAAAAGTGCTTCAATTTAAATTTATTTGAATAAATAGAATTTGTTTTCTATTCTATTCTAATTAAACAAAGTTACATGTTGATACAAGCAAGAAATGTTCGTTTACTATCAAGACAATAGTTTTTTTAGTAAACATATAAACAAAATATTATATGATTATATATTAGATGTTTGATGACCGACAACTTGAAAATTTTTGCAATTGGTGCATCTGATAATGAAAAATTTATAGAAATTAATTTAATGTATTATCACATTCATATTTATTTTTCATGGGGTTCATAAAATAAATTAATCAACAGCATTTAATAATATTAGTTTTTGCCGACAACTTGAAAATTTTTGCAATTGGTGCATCTGATAATGAAAAATGTTAGAAATGTATTATCACATTCATATTTATTTTTCATGGGGTTCATAAAATAAATTAATCAACAGCATTTAATTAGTTTTGCCCTGAAAAATGTTGTGGATGGAAAATTATGAAACACTTGGTGAAAGCATATTTATTAGCCTGCAAGTAACTTTTTTTAAATCAACCTTTGTTACAAAAGATTTTTTTACAGACAGATGTTATAAACCTGTCATCATGTTTACGTCTTCATACATAATCGGTGTTATAAATTTGCATCAATACGTCACGGTAGTGATACGTGCGTATCTCACGGTAGTATGATAAATACGCAAACAACGAAATCATAATATGATTTAAACAAGGTCCTATGATATTTATAGCAGTGAGTATTTGTCATAAAAATAAATATTTATTAAATTTAATTAATGTCACATGTCTAAAATATTATATCATTTTCTGTTAAAGTTTTTAAGCAGATACCTACATCTAGTTTACTTAGGTAGACTAAAAAGATGTGTGTATGGGTACCTCAGCCTCTTATATATCAGGCTACAAGCAATTTGCTTTATTAGAGTACGTAGATTAGACAGTGAAATTACAGGTTTAGAGGAGACATCTTAATCTTCCAGAATGGCAACGCATGAGTGGCATCACAGGCGTTACATGATAACTTGTTAAACGTGGTGCTGTTTATGAATATAGGAGACGATTATCGCTATACACATAAAAAAAAGAGAATTTTGTCAGTTTTTCTCAACACGTGAGTACTCCGAACTGACTGTAGATTTGACATATCATATAAGCCTATGTATCATATAGACCTAATAAAGATATTTTGATTTTTATTCTAAAATATTGTAATCATTATTCCTTAGACGGAGTTGAGATACCGTGTAGGGGAATTAAGCCATTTCTCATTATTTCCTGTTGTGTTGCATATTTATCCCAGATCACCATGGTAAGTCTTTTCATACATCCAAGATACATAAAATATAGTATTTCAAAGTAGTATGTCAAATTATTTTCATTGTTCAAATATATGCTAATAATGATTTACTTGTGAAAGTATTACCCTCTGATTCACATTCACATACAAAATTGAAATGTCGCTCGGAACCAAACAATTGGAATACATAGGCAATGGTGTTGTATATACAATCTTTTTGATTAAACTCCTTGATTGTATGCTCACGCTGTGCTCGTTAGTCTTAATTGTTATATATTTTTTTAAGTATCAATAATTACGATTATTTTAAGATCTCTAACTACTTCCCATTTCGAAGTTTTTACATTATGGTGTACCTTGTAATGCGTAGGCCTTTGAGAACTCGACAGTACAGGATTTGAAATGTGGCTCTTGGTGTTCTGATGACTGATCTCCAATGCTGAACGGAGGAGGTCGACCTTAGAGGCGGATCCTTCATAATTGCTTCCTCGACGCTGACTGTTACTACCGCTTCGGCTTCTACAATGCTCATTTATATCACCTTGCGAAAACTGAAATGGGAAAGATATAATTTTTTATAATCTTTACATTTCAATAATTTAACAAAAATGCCAATTATTTAATAAACTAAATCCATATTTTAAATTTTGATTTCTTTATAACAAAGGTTCCGTTAATAGAATACTGGAAGATGACTTACTCTTGACCGTGAACCTCTAGGTAGAGAGTGGAGTGATCCCAGTGGATTGTACCGTGTAATCATATGCAACCTCTCCAAAGAGATCATCGTTTCTGCGTCCTTGCGTAATGGCTCTCCATTTAATTTGTCGCCATCGCCGCTTTCTGCATTTAATATGTATTTAATAAATTTAGCTGGTATGTATACAGAATTGTGTATAGAGGTGTACCTAAATCGCTGTATAGGTCTATATGTATATGTATATAAGGTACATAATAGGTCCGTTAAGATTCTACCATGCCGTCAACGTCTAATCTAGTATTATAGGTTTAGTCAAAAATTATTGAATGCTCTTTAGAATATATAAATTCAATTTTATAAATACTATCACTGTGACACACCTTTCTCTATACTCTGTGGCAGATTTAACAATAGACCTAGACAAAATCTAAGAACCAAACAAAAGAAGAAGTATACTATAGAATCACATACCTGTGTCCTGGTCGCAGGAATCTTCAACACCAGTCACATTTATATTCCTAAGCCAGAAATAATGCAGTAGACCGTAAAGAATCCCTCCAAGGAACGCAATAAGGCCCATATACCGGAATGCCTCTCTGGTGCCAAGAGATGCTATCAGAAGACCACCTCCAAAACTTCCACTACCTCTACCTGTAAATAAAATAAAGATATTTTAAACGTTGATATCTGTCTTCATCGTGAGGATGTCAATACTTAGTATGCCTGTATTTGGCACTATTTGAACCAAAGACACAGGCAGAGAGTTCACCAAGTTCACCCGAGGTATCACTGGTAGGCTACCACTATCGCTCGGGTGAACTTGGTTTATTGCCGATACTTCCATAAACGGATAATCAGTTAGACGTAAAATTATATACAAAGATTTTGAACAGATAATATTTAAGTTGGAGAAGGAAACCTCATTCAATGTCACTCTCTATTGTACTTGATTAATTATTTACACTTTATGAATGTGTGATAAATGTAACATTATTAATGCGTATCTATTAATTACAATGTTACAATACCAGAAATAGATTTTACAAAGGACAACATTCTAATCCAATGATCTTGGCCTTAAATCTCTCCTATCATGTTGAGTTAATGTTGTCTACAAATATGATTGTTCATGTATTAATATTCCTACGCGTGCTTTAATTGGGTAGAGTAAAACAATGAAATACTAGGTTTAGACAGATCTCGCCATCATTAGTATAACCATACAAATACGCCCGTTGCTCGTTCTTTTAAGTATATTCCTTTTTGTAGCAAGTGATCTATTTGCTAGAAGACTATTTGTTCGACGGACCTACATCTTGTTTACAGGCCCTATTATCTACATCTCATTGGTCCTCCCATATTTAAATAATCTCTGTTTTTATTAACTGTATATAATTAAGACATTGCCTTTTAGTCCCAAACTAAACAGATCTTGTAACTTAACCATGACCAGTGCAACGTTTATCACAGAATTTACAGAATACATTCCAACTCTACTTTTATTTTCTACCATAATTCCTAAATCTATTGTCATTCGCTACCAAATTACTATTACTGAGATTTTGTCTGTCTCATAATTAATTCACTTATTTTGATATGACGTAAATGTTATCTGTAATGTACAATTCATTTGTAAACAGTAGCTAAAGACAGTATAAAATTTAATTCTATTTATATAAAGTCGACGTGGCCTAGTCATATCGAAGTAGCACTCGCCTATATGTATATACTAAATTGAAAACGTAGACAACGCGAATTTAATATCAAGAGGTCTTGTAAAACTTCTCACGGGGCTAATTTCTGAAATCGTTTTCGTATGATTTCATAGAATCCTAACAAAGAAAAGGACCTACAGCCGTCTTTTACCATCACAAATTTACATTTAACAAATATTTGTGACGTTATTTATATTAATTATACAATAAAAAAATTGAATAATACAAACTGACGTACCTAAATTTTTTTCAAATGCTTTTGTAAGAAATTTACCTTAGTTTGTATAATAACCGTCAAGCAGCTTTCTTTCTAATGCCAGATGATCATTTTGCTGTTCATGTATATATCATAGTATATAGTTTCCTGTTTTGCTGTTACCACTTACCATCAGGTGGACCATCAGTTTCATTGCCATTCTAGATTCTACAACCGTCGTTATCCGTTCTGTAGTATTACAATCGTCCATCAGCATTCTTTTTAATGCCTGATGGTTATTATGCTGCTCATGTATATAGTTTCCTGCTTTGCTATTTCCACTTACCATCAGATGGATCGCTATACTAGTTACATAAAAAACACAAACCGAGACTGAAATGTGCCATTCCCAATACGCCTATTAGAGTCGCTAGAAGACTTTTGGGAGCCAACATAGCGCAGTACGTAGCAGCTGCTACCCACATCAAATGCACTGACAGCGATTCCATGGCTTCAAATGGAAAACACCACCATGAATTTCTGGAATTTAAATTAAATAGATATATTAATACATGTTGAAGATTAAACCTCTTTGTTAAAACTTTTTTATAGCCATTTATTTTTAAATGTTCCTGTCACTGTTCTCCTTTTATTTTTTCATTGTAATTGATCTTTAAACAATATATGGTATACAAATTACTTTCTGTTAACCACAATTGCCTACTTTTATAAATAATAAATTAAACAAAATAGTTGTTATCGTCGACCACAATATTTTCTGGTTGGTTATTGAGGTACACATTTGGAAAAATTTCCGTAACTGTCTGTTTGGTTCAATGTTAACAACATTGGACAATTTAAGGATAAAAGTCGTGATTATGTACTAATCTACTACATAAGATATAGGTACTGTGAAAAGAAAATATGAACGTAGTATAAATAAATAAAACATATAACAAATATATCCTAAATATAATGTATTGTAATATTAGTTAGATACTAATAGTAGTCTTTTTTTAGAGAAAACTCCGTAAAACAAAGAAACAGAGCAAATCTACTTATCAGCTGTAATAGGATTTCAGTTATTGACATTACTAATACTACAAATACCAGATAGACGCGAAGTATAAATACAAAATTTGTAATTTCGGTTTGAATTTATAACAGTAATTAAATAGAAAAAGGAATAATGAACTGAAAATAAAAGATACGACACGGATAAAATTTTGTATTGTTTGTAATAATTTATTTCTTTATTTTAAACTGACAACGCTAAGTAAGGCTTAATTAATAATTATATTGATTGTTTAATTGACAAAAAAACTGAATTAAGGGTTATTGATATAACGTCATCACTTCATATCTTTGGCGCTCTTTGTGTGATGCCACTTGCCACCAGATCAACTATCAGTTTGTTTGACATTATAATTACATAAAATAAACAAAGTCAAAAATGTATACATATTATGCCAATATTATAGAGAAAGCAGTAAAATATAGTATAAAAATAGAAACATAGACAGAAACGCAGATCTTGTCATCCGTATTGTGATACCTGAACGAAACGTGTCTTGTTATTTATATTACCGTAGTATTCTCGAGAGTAACTAAGATCTCGCCCACACGTCGTTGTGCTCATAAACTTGACAATGCTTTATTGTCGTAAATACATTACTGCTTCAAATGGTATTTAAATTGTAAAGGACGTTTCAACGGATACGTACAAAGCTATACACTTTTCTTATATAGCTGGCATTGCCAACATACTGATGTTCGTATGTTATTCAAAGTGAGAAATGTTGCCTATAATTCTATTGCATTGAAAAAACCCAGATATGTCAAAACGAAATCTATAAGATATATGGTACCCAAGGTTGTCATTTCTAAAGATCGAAGAATTCGATGCCATATCTCGTTTTCAAGAATACAGTTTACAAAGCAAACTGCTCGGCTCCAAAAAAGGTGAGAGGTACATGGACGTATTTATTTCAATTCTGGCTTTTTAAATTAGACGCGTTTATTAAGTATATTACCATGTACCGACGACTTCATGCAAAGTGGAAAAGTCTTTGTTTTATAACATGGCGTTTGTTCTCTTATTTTGCTATAAGATACTGTAAAGAATTCAATTTAATACAGGAAGTTCTTTCAAAAAATTCTTGATATCGATATAATGTTCTGCGAATGGAGATATCACAATAGAGGATGAGTCAGTCACTTTAGTTCTATTTTCCTACTTAGATATAGACAAATGTTAGATAAATTCAGCAACAGATCATGCAAATTACACTTATTGTCAACACTAATAAAGATCTTATCTTTATCTTTTATTGTTTCTATTTACCTAAGTCATTCATTACATGATTATTGAGATTAATAACTGTTTGTACTAATATATCTGTATCTGTGGTGCAAAGTTTATTCATAAGAAACGGTTTCAGAGGAGCTTCCTCCCGCGTACACTTAGATTGCGGAATGAACTACCTGCCCAGGTTTTCTCACTAGACTACAACATGAAGTTTGTAAAAACGTGAAACAACATGAAGTAGGGTATATTAAGGTTTCTTAAGTGTCAGTAGCGCACGTGACACCTCTGGTATTTCTGGCGTCTATAGGCAACGGTAACCGTTTACCATCAGATGGGCCGTGTGCTTGTTTGCCACCTACGTAGTATAAAAAAAAATATTGGCGATTATTATGTAATAAAACTTTTATAATTTATACCCATTTAAGAAAATTGTACGGCTTTGAATGCAGTGGATGTCTTCCAGGCTGAAATGATGATGATGATGTAGGCTTTGAATTATTTTTAAAACAAAGTTTACATTCAAAGATTTCTAATAACTTACTACAATCAGAACATTTTTTTCAAAGACATTTTTGTCTATTTATTAGAATCTTGTTATTCTTAACTAGATAGTTAAGTATGTTAATAGCCTTTTAAATAAGAGTTAAAGGAACAAAAAATCTTGTTGTCCTACGTTGTCGAACTCTTAATACATAAATTATTAAAGAAAAACTCACTCAATAAACGAGTATCCGACAAGACGAGCAGCGTGGGAGAAGAACGCGACAATGATAACGTTCACGTGGCCTATGCGGGCGGTGATGGCATCAGCTCCGTACAGAAACGGGATGCTACTCAATGTGCCCACAGTCACGGTTATACCTGAATGTGAGATCAAGATAATACAGTTGATACATCGGAAACAGAAATGCTTGGAAAAAATATGTTTAAAAGATTATATAGGTAAACGTACTAAACTCGTAATAAAATGGGTTGTGTTCATGAAATAATGGATATTTCCAGATTTTATTATATATATACACAATTATTTTAATACAATAATATAAGTAAATACGTCTACTGCATAAATAGACTCATTAAATAATTTATTATAGTTGTTCATTTTTTATATGTACAGTTGTAAATATCATATTGTATAAATAAATTTCTTACCCAATAAAAAATTTGGTGCTCCTAACTCCTTCAAATATATAAATAAGTAAGATTCAATGAATCCCCAAAAGTTTCCCAAAGCGAAGAGGAAAAAGATGAAAATAATAATATGTGGCATCTTTATTATGTTCACTAAATCTCGTAGCAAATTATCCGCCGGTAGCTTGGCGCCTAGAGGCATAACAGCGACCGTAATTGCTGATATCAGAAGCAACACATCGTAAGTATAAAATGCAGCTGAATAATCGGTGTAACCTGCAATCGACGACTTGATGTAAACATCTACTAACACATTATTGACAAAGAAGATAACGATTACAAGATGATACTTACCAACTTGTTTACTCCTCATATCTATGAGCATACCCGTAATAGGTGAAAATATAGCCATTCCAATACTAGAAAAAAGGCGTTCTCTACCAAAATCACCGCCATATTTTTGTATCATAGTCAAGGCAATGGGATCCATAATTGTAACACCAGCAGACAACATTATAGTACCCATGAATCGTAAGAAAAAATAAATATAGAAAGTCTTATCGTCGCTTTCCTTATAATCCGGTGGGCATATATCGGGCCCGCCTCTTCTGTAAAATTCCAATGATAATTTACCTTAGATATCATAGTTTATGTAAACTATTTAGATAAGCAATAAGTTGACAAATGAAAATGTGTTTTTGTTTTTAACAGAATCTTATCCTACCTGAAGTCACATTTTTGAACCATACAATCAGCAGACAATATTTCTAGACGTAGCTGAGAGAGCTTAGTCATGTTATGCACCATGACAAGACCTCCACACCTCAAGTCTTCCTTATCCAATGCCGTTATATTTACTCCTTGCGCTATTAAAAGTTTCTCGCCGAATCTAGATCTAAAATCTGTCACTTGGTCATCGTCATCCTAAAACAAAAGTTTTTACTTTTAACTACCACGATTCAAAAGTATAATTACTTTCGTATAATTAATATATTCCAGTTGACAATCTTTTACATAATAGATAATAGCCCTGCAAATTTTCTTTTATAGTAGGTAGATACCACCACCTCATCTTGCATTTTCTGTGCTTTTCCTTCATTCGTAGAATTATTATTCAATTGTTACTTTTAGATATAAAAAATGTCTGTGGCATTATTCTCTTTTACTTAACTAATATTTTTTCTCAATATACCGAGATTATTTAAATCTAGATATGCTGTCCTATATATCAATTAAGTTTTCTATTAGTCTCTCCCAAATGGTGCTTTCATTTAATAAACTTTTCACAAATTAAAAAAACACTTACACGTTCCATTTCAATGCCAAGTTGTTCTTTAGGTTCACCTAAATCGTCATGTACTTCTATAAGAAAGAATGCTGCGTCATTGTAATCTTCATCTTCAGTCACATTTTGATGACTGAAAAAAATATTACTTGTACTTGTTATTATAATTACTGAGTTGTATGTTTTATGTTTATGATAATTATTATCAAATATTTTGTAAAGAGTGAAAAGTGAAAGAAACTAACTAATTACTATACTAAAATTCAGTGAAACTTGGTTGTCGATTTAAATTAAAATTAAATTTAAGTGTTTCCATACTTCGATCCTGATTAAGCCATCTCTTAGTACTTAGTAATTCTGTCACACAAAGTACATCCGCAGTAAGTCGAGAGAAAAAGATTTGCAAAATATATATTTAATAATATCAATGTATTAGTATAATTATAAATAATGTATAATTTATTCTGAAGAAATATTATTCGACAAACTATTGTTCTGAACTCACTACGGATTTATAATGTACGGTGAAGACGTCAGAGAGAGACAAGATTCTACAAACTCTGTTCATCTGTTCATCTGCATTATTCATATCATTTGCATATTTTTTTATTGATGTAATCTCGACACAATCATGTGACCTATCCAGGATTCAGATAAACATTGATATCCTCAATTATTATATTAAAATCCAAGGTCAGAATAATTCACTCTAATTTTCATAAAATAAAATTTATTTTGTTCAAACAAACAAACTCAAAGGGGATAAGAGAAATTATTTTTATTAAAAAAATACCTGCTATTCGATAAATTTGGTGGTTGAATTTTATGACTAATGTGGAAGTCCAGATCATCTTTATCGTCCGCAGGATCACTAGCTGGGCTTTCTGTGGGTCTAAATAAATGGCAATGGTCCACACACCGATCCAACACAAAGTCTACAGTCTCGTCTTCATCAGGACATTCTCTGCTAGGGCAAGGACTCCACCATATCTATATGAAATAGAACGATAAAATGTTGTATTGTAACAAAATGACGAATTGTTCAGATTGTCTAATTATCAAATGATGTACAAATTATAATTATCTCAAAATATCCAAAACATCAATAGTAACACTATTACTATTGTTGTTTTAATTCTTTGGAATTAACATGTTTATATTAAGTTCTCTTTGTATTAAGTTTTTAAAGAATTAAATAAAGTAAATGATAAATTGTCATGAAATATGGATAAATGTCCTTTAATTCCTTTAACTAATTCAGATATATGGACTCAGGTTATGACACGGGTTAATTCGCTCAGAGGCCGGATGAAGATGATTTGCTTAAATTCTTAGAGTAGTTTGGTTTGTCTCGTGACTAAATAACGAGCAGCAAATCGTTAGGGGACATTTTCGAAACAAATCTTTATATAAACAGAGTACCTCAACACTATTGGTGATTGGATGTCGCATAACGTATGCCGACGGCATCACACCTGGCGTTTCCTGATGCGGGATCAGGAGCAATGAATGGTGGAACGCGGCATTTAGAATCAAAGCGGTAATTACAACAGGCTTGTACTCCCCGAAACGATCCACTAGAAATCCTAAAATGAACAGATTCTAGTAAACACAGTTCATCAAATATATTCACTCAGATAAATTCTGCTTACCTGTTATCGGGGGACTTAAGAAAGTAGTAAATGGCAAAGCTAAATACACAAAAGAAATCTCAGGCACTGTAAGTCCTATGCTTTGCATGTGTATAGTCAAGTATGGCAAAAGAGAAGCGGTGGCTCCATACATCACAAAAAGAGTCACTTTTAACATAATCAGGTTTGGATTGATGCGCAGCCAAACCATGATTCGGCCTATCTTGCCCAACTCCTCTTCACTTTCCGCCTCCATCATGTCTTCCTCGTTATATTTTTTCGCATCGTCGTTTAGCTTTGCCATACCTCGAACACTACTCACATTTTCATACCGATACAGTTGTTAGCTCGTGGACTATATCTTATCGACTGACGCTCTGTAGAAAACTCTGTCGGTTGTAAATGTGACAAGTGTTTACTTAGGTTCGATCTTTAGAGGATTAGGTTGATAGTATAAAGTCAATATTTTTTAGGTTCCGTGCTCGGAGCTACCGGGAGATCCAATGAGGGTCCCATGCTCCCGAGCGACTGAGGCGGGAGCGGACAGCGGCGGACGTGGCAGCGGTACAGCAATTTACAAATAATAGCAAATTACCTTCGTTTAAGAAGTGTCACAGCGATTGGTGGGGATGTTGGCTAAATCGGTTGGCGATCCAGAGACCTTGTAGGTAATAGCAGGGGTCGAGGCGCTCCTTGATATGCGCCTTTAGTTCCCGAAGTGAAGGCGCACGTTGCGAATTTGACGCAATCTCCTGGCACTACACTGGTTTGTGAGTGAGTACAGTTTATTTTTTATTTCTCATACATTCTTATTAAATACAATAGAACTTAGAATATATGGTATTGTAGGTATAGGTCCCATATGAAAATTAAAAATAATATTATATATTTTCCCCACGGAATATAAAGTAGTGTATACTTACTTCATTTTATTCTAACAGTTTTATAGTCATGGAACATGATTATACTCGATATACATTATATTAATATTTTTAGAAGTAGGAATATATTGTAGACTAGTTGTACCTGCGACTTCGTCAGTGTGGAAATTAACTTCATTTTTCTAAAATAAAAATAGCCTAAATTACTCCTTTTTACATCAGCTACCTACCAAAAAAGTCCCGTCAAAATCGGTCCAGCCATTTCAGAGATTAGCCGGAACAAACAGACAGACAGACAAACAAAAATTGAAAAAAGTGTTATTTTGGTGTATGTACCGTATTTATATTTATATGCATGTAGTAAAAAACGGGTATTTCAATATTACAAACAAACACTCCCATTTTATTTATATTTATAGATGTTAACTGATGTACCTACTTCCAATACGGACTGAATTTGATAATAAATACTTTAGAAACATATATTATTTATTTAATTAAATCTGCCACTGAGAATGTATTGCAGACGACATACAACAAGATTTATATCTCATAAAAAGTCATTCTATTTATTTTGGATTTCCATCCTGCTTGATCCTATTGCTGGTCCTGAAAATGAAATCTCGTATCATGCAGAGAGCTAGTAATCCGACTACAAAATAGTAGTATTGAGGGCAACAAAATAGTAGATAATATTTTATTATAGGGCACCGTATAAAACATCCTAAGATGACCTCAACCTCTCCTTGTAAAATAAATATTGACTGCATTAATAAAGAATACTATGTACTGGGCAATATAGCTATTAGGAGGTAAGTACTGAATCGTATTAGGTAGCAGTTCCAACAACAGATTTCTGTGCTGATACAAGAACATACAGGTATCGGTGACATGGATCAATAAATTATTATTATAAATGACTATTTGTATCGCCCACGGCTACTAGGTTATGTTGTGTATTTACTTTTTTGTTTCAAATAACTTAATAGCAGTAATAACAAAGTAATAATTATACTTAAAGTACAATAGATTGTTGTATGAATACAAGAATAAAAAAGAATAAGCGCCATCTATTGAGGAGTAGTTATGACTAATAAATATAACGGCGAATGCGCCATCTTGTGTCCAATAACAATGTTGTACTACTACCAGAATTAAAACATAATTTGTTTCAATTTCAATTGTACGTCTAAAATAGTAGTTTTAGAAATGTAATTGAAAAAATTTTGATTGATGAGTTTTCTGAATAAAAATGAATCCCTGTTTAAATTATGATAAAACCTTTAGATTTAGAAATATAAGGCCCCTAAAGAAATAAATGATCAGTAAACTTCACTGTTGAATAACTTCCAAGTTATTCAAAATTTTGTAGTTTTAGTTATGTATATGTATATGAACCTATTTAATTTATATGTTATATAAATATGGTTAACTAATCCATATAAAATGTAGTAAAAATATTATTAAATAATAACAATAAAATACCATCATAGTTAATATACGTGTCATATATGCTGCACTGTATATTAAAATATAATTTTAAGTTAATATTCTATTAAAACTATATGTTTTGCACATATTACGACTTATTTACGTTGTGTATGGCATAATACAAAAACTGAAAAATTTGCAATGTTAAAAACGACGTTGGCGCCATCATCAGTACAAAGCTAGAACTGTACGATGTTGCTATTTGTATGCAAAACACAATTTCTGAACAGTTAATTTGCAAAACTATATTTTATTTTATTTTACTAATAATGCAAACTATAACATTATTATTTAAACTTTTTTTTATATTTGTTTATTATAAAATTATTAATAAATTCGGAGCACTTCACTGCCATCTAGCGACCATAGATGTCGACTCAAGAATAGACGTCTAGAATGTCTATACTCTTCTGCAAATTGTCAACCATAATGCATTGCGCATAAATGGCCGCCATGTTGCTGCCGTCTGAAAGATGTTCGCAATTGTGTGTGTTTACTAATGAATTTTAAGAACTTAAATACTAAAATTACTGTGTTTGTGAAATTGTGAGTGTACAATGCTTTTATATTTTATATATTGTTGTGTTTAAAAGTCTGTCAGATGTCTCTGAAGCCAATAAACAGTGAAATTTTCTTTAGATAGTCATACAATTCGGACGGCATAATGGCTGACAATCTGATTCAAAAGTCACATAAAACTAGTGAGAAAAACAAGTATAACAACGTTGTCCATCGTACTACGAGCGAATCTCTTCGCCTGAACGAGTCGGAGAAGGGAGTGACTCACCCCACGAGCCTACAAGCCACACATAACCCAAGGAAAATATCTTCGTTTCAGATCACCAGTGTGACGGTTGGTTCACGAGTGAGCACTGATGCTGGAGAAGATTCGGCCGACGATCTAGATGAATCTCACACCGATGACATCTCAAGAGTGACCGATATCGAGAATGAGACACCAAGTTACTCCGAGGACACCTTTTCGAAAGACGATGTGTTTTACAACGCCTCGAGTGCATCATTAGGTTGTGCACCCGTCATCCCGACCAGTTCCCAATACGGGCTTGCGATCGTCGGCCAGGATAATAGCACCAACCAATTAGGAGGAGCAGTGCCAAATAGTAATAGTTCTGAAGTGAGTGACATGCACGTCAGTGTTACTAACGCCGGCGCAGGCAGTATCATTAATCTCATAGGAAATGCTAAACCCCAAGAAGGTATGAAAGAAATACAAGAACATGTTAGGAATGAACGATTTAAAGTTGTTAAAATCGAAAGCACAGAACCGTTTCGTAGGGGTCGATGGATGTGTATGGATTACTTGGATCACACTACTACTCAACAAAATGCACCAATTACGTTAAACAACAATTTAGATGTGACGGATACTAATGCGCTGCAGGCTCCCGACAGTGGTGTTGTGATTAATGATAGCCAACATGATGATATGTGTAATGATCTGACAAATAAGGGGCCTAAGGATCTTCAAGGAAATGCACCCACCATACAACAACTGGAACAGGCTATTCAGAAACAGTTCCCAATGGCTTCACCTGGACAGTCGCTAACTCAGCCTGTGAATGCAGTGCAACAACAGATGCCTGGAAACCAACCTGTCTCTGTGCAGTCACCACCTTTAGAGCTGCCTCAACAGATGTCAAATCAGACCCACACTCAGCAGGTGGCACAGCAACATCCACAGAGTATGACTCATATTACAATGCAGAATCCACCTCAAAATCATCCTCAGGCACCCCAGCAGCAACAAGTTCAACAAATACCACAAAGTTTTCCACAGCACCAATTGCAACAAGTTATTGCACAGTCACAGGGCATTGCTATGCAGCAGATACCAATGCATCAACAAATACCACAACAGATGCAACAAATTCAGAATCAACAAATGCAACAGATGAACCAACATATTCCTCAAGCACAGATAACTAATATGCAACAAATCCAGCAACAAATTCCTCAAATGCAGCCCATGCCAAATCAAGGTCAGATACCCCAAGTTGCTAATCAACAACCACAAATGCAACAGATGCAAATCCAACAAATGCAGGGTCAACCCAACCCTCAACAGATGCATATGCAACAAGCTCAAATTCCGAATATGGGTCAAAGTCACCACTTGCAAGGGCAACAGGCTATGGGAGCCCAGCAAGCACAACTTCAACAAATACAGGCTTTACAGAGTCAGCAAATACCAAATCATATACAACAGATGCAGATGCCTGCTCAATTGACTGGACCTAATCAACAAATACCACAGATGCCTACTCAAATGCATCAAATTCCTACACAACCACAGCAGACAGTGGTGCCAGGTATGCATCCTCAATTACCACAACAGGGCCTGCCAACTGTTCAGACTCAGTACAATCAGGCTGTCAATCAACAACCAAATACACAGCCGATGATTACTGCTAGTATGCCCACATCTCAGCAGCCTATAGTGCAGACTCAACATAATGTTCCTCAGTATCATACACAGCAACCACAGATGAGCCAGCAGGGCCAAACCTTGCCTCAAGAGGTGCTTACGAGTATTGTTACATCACAGCAAGGTGCAACTCTACCTACAAATCTACAGACTATGGCGTCCCAGCCACAGGGCTCTACATTACCTGCGAATCTCCAGAGCCTTAACCAGCAACAAGCTCCAACTGTTCACTCTATGGCCCAACAACAGGGTACTGTGCCACAAGGAAACATACAAATGATGACTGCGGCGCCTCAGAATATGCAGATGACTCTAGACGGGAATCAGCCTAGTTTGCAGATACCCGCCTCAGATCAAATATACATGCAGCCCACAAATGTCGGCCAACAAATGCCTGTTGGGCAGCATATGGCGCAGCAGAATATGTTACCACAGCAAGTAAGTGGACAAGGTCAGATGGGCGGCGTGCAGTATGTGCCTAATCAGCCCGTGTCGCAGGTGTCAATGGCGCATCAGAACATTCCTATGTCGATGCAGCAAAACATGCCAGTTGGCATGGGTGGTGCAGTTCATGCTAATGTTGTGCAGTCTCAGACCAGCATGGGACTAGGTTATGGCGGAGTGGTGCCAGTCATGTCTCAGAGTAGTGTGGCACCTGTGGAAGCAACTGTGTCAGGTACTAATTCACCAGTGGTTTCTTTGCCTGTTAGCTCTACAGCATATGTGGCTAACACGGCACAACCTGGACATGACAATCAAGGCTTTGGTAGCCCAGTGAGTGCGGTAGTGTCTCACGCTATAAGTAGCGCAGTGATGAGCAGTGTTAATGTGAGTGCATGTGAAAGTGGTGCTACGGAAGTGCCTGCTGAGAATCTGCAGGCTGGTGATACTAGTGATGGGAAGGAGGAGTCACAGCCTGCTCCACAACCTGAAGATGAAAGGTCAGTCATTTACAGTTATACTTTATCAATTAAGGTATGTTTTAAAATAATTAAATCAATCCAAAGAGCTGTGGTGATATATGTCATGGTAATAGGAATACCTTATTATTAGGATCATAACATATTGACAACCATATTGTATATGCATAAATTAAAATTCTGTAATGTGTAAGGTAGCTGATTTTTTCCTTTTTTATTCTTTTATTAAAACATTTATATACTGCAGCAGTTTTCTTTTTTATGGTGAGTGTGACAGGAGTACATGGGAATTTATTTAAATTTTTACTTTATTTTTGGTTAATTTAATATTTTATCAATCACAAAATGAAAAATACACAAAAGAGATAAACCTTGACTCAATACAAAAGTGTAGGTAGGTACATTATAATTATAGTTTCTTGTTACTTATAAAATAATTAGTATACTTCTGATAATAAAGATTAGGGGAGCCCCACAATGTTTAAAAAATGTTTGCCTGTTTACTCATTTCCTGCACTTATAATTTTAAAAGCTAGATTATGTGTTTATTACATATCTATGTGCATTTGAATTCTGCAACTTCTTTTTTTAATTTAATAAGTAATAAATATAATAGACAACTATAGTTATTAAAGAAGAGCCTTGCATTTGTGTATCCTAGTTTATAACATATTTGTATTACTTGTTACAAATAAATGACTACCATTTTTTAACTACATATTTTTTTGTTACTCTGTAGGGTAAACTCTGTAAGGTCCCATGTATTTAGAAATGATACTGTAATCTCTTGTAGGTATGGTGATATCTATATATATATACAGTATGGTGAATCTATATTAGTGATATCTATATTCCAGGAATTGATACTATTGCTTAATCAAACTGAAAATGAATAACATATTTTTATTTCCTTTACTAGAGGGTAAAAATTTAGTAACTTTTTTATATTCATTATTAAAGATAATTAAGTACCTATGTAATTTGCAATTTTTATAGTGCATACTGGCAAAGGCTGGTAAATTTTATTTTTATGTCAATATTAGAATCCTCTATGAAATAATATGCAATAAGAGACAGTCTTATGTGGGCTGTTGGTGATAATCTAATACATCTTTTGCTAAGGGATAAGAGTTGTTAATTTTTTTAATTCATTAGGGTAAACTCTGGTAACTGTTGACTGGTTATTCAAGATTATAGATTCATAAATTGAACATAATTATTAATATAGTGTAGGTATTGAAGTTAAACCCATACATTGAGCCTCTACAATAGATCCTTCATATTTTTTTATATCAGCATTTAGCATATGTCACAACAGCATAACATTTCCTGGTTAATTATGAATATGATATGAAAAAGGAAGCACAGTAAATTTCGGATTCGATATCACAAATAAAAAGGAACATCATTATTTCTTCCTCCATCTTTCATATATTGTAGCATAATTTATAAAATAATGCTAAGAGTATTTGTATATTATTGCTAGTAGATGAGTATAATATTAATATTGTCTTTATCACATTATGTACATGTAGATGTTTTATAAATAACTTTGCAGTATTTTTCGTTTAGAATTACTATTAAATTACTTACATTATTGTTTTGCCTTTACTTATTTCTACATGTTTTTATAATTATATAATTAGTAGGTTTAAACATTTTTTACATTTGTATTACTTTCTATTGCCAAAAAAAACTTCTTTAGTATAAGGAAAACGTGTGCCAAATTGCTCATTCCATAGCCTGACTATTCGCTAAGCGAAACTTGTCTGAAATCATATTACACGTGACCATTACGGGTGGTAGGGTGGGTTTTTGAAATTTACAAACAAGAAAGTTATAACCCATTGTTATATCGAATACGTACCACATGTACAAAGTCGAGCCGACATTTATTATATTTGTATCTAGAATAGCCTCTGTTCACATGAAATATATTATTTTCCATAATATAGCATATATTGTGGAAAATAATGTATTTCATGTGTTTAAGAAAAATAAACTTTGTTATTTTTGATGCAAATTTTGTGCTGTTACAAAACCAAGGCCTAAAAGCTTAGGCTTGTAGGTCATCAACATTTTTTTTATGTGTTATAATTATTTGTACAATATATTATATGATAGGTATGCTTTTATTAATTATGAACTGGTTTAGTTTCCGATATTAAGCAACTTAGGAATGCGTTTGTAACAATCGAAATAATTCTCTGTCAGTTCTAAGTATTTTCACTTAGCAACAGTATACGAATAGTTACATTTGCTGGTAGTTCCTAACCGGTGCAGTGTCTATTTGCAAAAATAACACATCCGTAGACAATGGTGGTTGTTTTCTTCGCTTCCCGAGGTTCGTACTGCCGTCCGGAATCCGACGTTCCTTTGATGCTGTTTATTTGCGCCTCGTCCTGCGACATAAATAGGTGGTTGACACGTACGGTGCATGGTGCGCGTAGGTATGCCGGCGGCAGTGACTCACGCGCAAGTCACAACGCACCCGATCTACGGCCTGGCTAAAAAAGCGACGGGCCGCCGTTCTTTTTCGTCTGGCAAAACGTTCCGCTCCTTTTTACAAAGTAAGGCTTAGGACACACGATGCAGCCCCAATTGCTAACAATTCCAAATCCTAATATTTTCAGCTAGTGTTTTGAAATGAAGATTTTAGATGCACATTGTCTGAAGACAATTTTAACATTTAACTTTTTTTGATTACGACAAAAACTACTTTACTTTTAGTTAGATACTCGTCTGTTTCTTTAGTATTCACTGATTCTACAGAATCTTTAGGAATAGAAGTATAAAATTATTATAAATTGTTATTCTATTCACCATATATATTATTATTAATTTTTTATTCCATTATTGAAATGATTTGTTAAGCAAAAATATCCCAATATATGATGATTTAAAATATGTGACCATATAAAATTATTAGATTTATACTAATGATAATAATGTTTGAGATTATTATCATTATCAACATATTATGTTTTAAACAACGAAAGAATATTGTTTCAGTTGCGTTTCATCATCTTACCCTAATTTAACGTTGACAATTTTCTGTATCATTGTCGCTGTCACATTATTCCTTTATTCACAACTGCATTTACCGTAATTATCCTCTTGCCTAATTCTGTATTCATTTGTCGAAATGATAATTGTGATTTCATTTACTTACCTAAATTATTTTAACTAACTACGATAAAGTAGGCGGGTCTATGTACGTCTTCATTAACCAATAGGTTTTTAGCTATTGTCTTAATGCATCATCAAATCTGTTAGGATACCTAAGTATTGCGTGTTAGTGCTAATTTGTTCGTGTATTTCGTTTGGCACTTATCTCAAGTAGTTAAGCTGATGATGAAAGCCATTGCACTCGATACCAGTTAAGAGTTGAGGGATAATACTGCGATTTGTTAACAGTAACTACTTGATATTTAGGTGATACGAAATAGGTTAGGTGTTGGATAATTTCCACCGACATTGGTCGTCGCTGTATGTGATCACATATTTACGGCCTCGGTGGTCTAGCGGTTTACACACCGGTTTACTTCCGATGGTCGCGGGTTCGATTTCTCGCACGGTGCAAACATTTGGATTCATGAATATGATTGTTCGTATCGGCATGGGTGTTTTCTATGTATATATTTAAAGAAAAAATATTAAGTATTTAAATCAGTTGTCTACCCATAACACATGCTCTGCTTACCGTGATCTACGCTGTGGTAATTGTTCAGAGTTATTGATTTATTTATATATTTATTTTGACCATAAGTATATGGTGATACATGTTCTTCAGATACCTAGTATAGGCACCAATTCTCGACATTTTTATTTATTTATTTAATTAACACAATATTTGTATTTTAGCATTAAATTTACATGCTCAAATGACTTCGTTACCCTGCATATTATGTCAATGTTTTGTGAAGTATTAAATACTAATAATGAATGCAGTTATAGTAACAATTGAATACAGTTTTTTTTTATAACAAAATATATTTAGGTTTAGGTTTACTTAATAATGACTTTGTTAATGACAATTCTAAATACTTCCTCATTATTATATCTTGGACCGCAACAGACGTCTAGACTGGCGCCAGAAGTTCGACGTCACCGACGTCGCTGGTAACCGAGTCGAGGTCTGAAGGCCACGAAACATGAACCTTCCATTCCCTACTGATCGTCTAACATGCATCAGTATTCAGTATTCACCAATGATTCTCTGTATGGGGCTTTTTCATCCAACACAGCCATGTGTAATTTATGTAATCTATATTAGTTGAATCGCATTCAAAAATCATTCAATGAGGTAGTCATTGATTCGTCATTCTTCCATTTCAATAGTAATATTTCATATTATAAATGCGAAAGTGTTTCTTTGTAAACTTCACAACTAGACAGTTGAACGGGTCTTAATGAAATTTGACGTGAAGATTGCATTGTGAATACGAACGTAGGCTATAGTGGAATATCTAAAAAAATGCAATCTGAAAGGGGATAACAGTTTGTACAGACGAAGTTGTGGGTTATAAATGCGAATTGTATCTGTCTCTTTGTTGTCGTCTGACGACTAGACGGCTGAACGGATATTCGAAATTTGACGTAAATATAGATTATATCCGTGGCGCTTATATAGGATATCATTCATTTAAAAAAACTAATAAACTTGTGGGCAAAATCTATAGTGTTTTATATACCTAATCCCATTTAACATCTTACTGCTAGGGATGATTCTCCTATAATGAGAAGAATTTAAACTACCGTTACAAATTTTTTGTTATTGTGTGTTAAAATACAGCAAAATTATCTTAAAATTAATTTTGCCAGAACTGTATAAGAATTTCGATGATTATTTTTCACTTAGACTCTCCCCGTGTTGCGTTTAATTAAATACAAATATTGTCTTAAGTGCCGTTTTTATGTGAATGTATCATTTCGGTTACTACTATATTACATTATCATTGATTAAATATACAGTTTTTTAATAACAAGATTTGTGAATCTTATCTGATCGAGTTCTATTA